GCAACTATTTATCCTTCTTCAATGACTTTCTTTTTAGATGGCATCTTTAGCTTGGCTTATATAAAAAATTCCTTACCTAACAACCCAAATGTTTGTCCCAAGTTGATTACAAGGGGCAAATTTCTAAAATCACAAGAAAGAAAGGAAAATAGTGGTTACCAATAAAGGCTGAGAGTGATCCCAGCTTTTATACTTCGATTTTCAAGTCAGTGGTTGGTCTAAGAAATGAATGAGAAGGAGAAAGTGAGAAAATATTAGGAAAGATGGTTGAAAGGTACCTAAATTGTGCTATTTGTATCTATGAGGCATGAGTTACAGACAGTCTAGATTATCGGAGGTTAGGCCTAAGAGCTAGGGATGATCGGGTAAGCCCGAGCTAACTTGACAGTTGATTTTCCACTCAAGAAAAATGTGCCAAATAAGCACATTGAGGTTTTATATATAGACTTGATGAGGTGACAAAGCCGACGTAGACCTGTGAATTTTGGTTGGCCCAATACGTCAACTTTATTAAAAAGTTCAAAATGCCCCTGGCTATCTTCTAACTTATACTAATGAGAGAAAAAGTCCATTTTACGTCTTGGACATAAAAATATCCCTTACAACAGTCATGAATAAAAAGAGTAAAGTAAATAAGTAAAACAAAGGAAAATTAATATTGGAAGACATTTTTAATAAAAACAAATATACATTAATGATGCAAAAAGCATTTAATAATATACAATAGATAAAGACAACAAAAATATTCATACACATATAACACAAAATGATAATCAACCATTAAGTTTAATTTAATAGATTAATATGTATTTTTATTTCATTATTATGTAAAATCTTTTTTGCTAGTTTTCACACTTGAATTTTCTCAAATCCTATTGGTCCTTATTTGTCAAATGGGTTGTCAATAGGCCAAGCCATTTAACCCATTATTTAATAGATTAAAAAACTAAACCTATTATATCTAATAACCCAAATAATTAATTTTTGTGTTGAAATTAGTAGAACCTTATTTCATATTCTTGATTACTTTAATTTTAATAAGTTAGAGAAATTCGTTTATCTCTTACAATCATGTAAGCCTTAAAACATTTCTTCCAAATACAAACCCAAATATTAGCTCATGGCTTTGACCAAAGCTAATACATTTCTCCAATATTTATGATAACATCTGCCCAGCCAAGTTGAAGCAAATTGGCATTGTACATAAAGTGTTTGATAAAAATCTTGAACCAAACATGGTTTGAATGATTGACAAAAAGATTGATGCTTAATCCATGTAATCCCATCTCAAGTGATTGTAACCAATCTAATTTTAGCGATGGTGAAATGAGCCAATGAGAAAGCCAATTTTCCATCTTCAACTACTATCTCTATTTTCTTTTCTTCCTTTCATCGCCAACCACCACCTTTCTCTTTTCATTTTCCCTTTTCACTAGTTACTATCCCTGAACCATTTCTTTCTCATCTTTTTCCTCTCTTTTTTTTTTTTGTTTATTTTTGTTTATTTATTTTCATCCCAAATATTTCTCTTGATTATCTTTTTCTATTTTTTTATGCTTTTAATTTTTAAAAAGAAATCTAATATTAGTGCAGAGATCAAACAAAGGAAGATAGATTGAAGAAAGGAAAATAGAAAGGGATGAGAGTAAAATATAAAATTATTCCTCAAATTATTTTTAATATCAAAACTAATTTGACTTTAAATTGAAAGAAAGGGATAGCTTTAATCATAAATAATATTATATTACAGCATACATAGAATCTAATAAAATTTGCTTACGTTGACGTCTAGGTGGATAATTTCTTTATATGACACATAGGATAATAGTAATAATTATATTATATATTATCAAAATAATCAAATATAAAAATTTTTTAAACTAAATCATTAAATAAAATAAATATTCAAATATTAATTTAAAAATAGATAAAAGGATATATGATTATTTACTTTATTTAGTATTATTCAAAATCATTTAAAATATTCAAATTTGTTGAAATTGATAAAAGTATACATAAATTACTATTTAAAAATTTTGGTTTAAGGACTTAAAAATATTCATCCCAATTAATTTTTTAAATCTAAAATAAGCAGATAGAAACATTTATTTAAATAAATAGATAAAAACATGTCAACTATTTATATTTAAAATGTCTGATGTAGAATTGAAAACATAATAGTTTTCAGTATTCTATTTTGTCCAAAACTCATTTCTTTACTTCTTCCATTTAAGATTTTTTCAAAATTTTCATCTAAAAGTATTTTTTATTTGTATTTCTTTTTCAAAACTCTATTTCCTCTTTTAAATTTTTTATTGTTATTTTTTTTCTTTTTACAATGATTTATAAGATCAATAAGAATAAATAATAGATCTTTTCAAAAAAATTTGTTTTTTTTTGTTTCTTTGAGGAGTGTGATTTATTTTTAAAAAGGGTTTTATTTCTTTATTTTCATGTAATCTTGGTTTACATATTTTAGTTCTATTACTTCTACTCTAAACTCTATTCTATTATAGTGAGAAAAATTTTAAATTGGAGTTTTCTGTTCTTTTTTTTTTTTTTTTTTTGGCAATGAATAGAATTTTCTGATCATGAGTGTATATATACATAAAAAAGATAAATCTTTAGGGGATTGAGGAATGGTTTAGAATTATAAACTTTTCTCGATTCGATTTTTTAAATCACATTTTTGTCTTAAATTTCAGTTGTACTTAATCTTAATTATTAGTTTTTTTTTTGTAATTTCTTTCGAATTTATAAGTACTTATTACATTTGGATTTTATGTAAACATTATATATATATATATATATCAAATTTCTCTATTTTACCAATTAAACAATCAAATTGTGAAATGAATTTAATTAAAAATTCCAGTGTCTTAAATATTTACTAATATATATTTCTAAATTAAGATAGAGGTTAAAAAGTTATTTAAAAAATTTATTGATAAATTATATTTTTATTTTGAAATTTTTATACTTTCAATTTATGAAATTAAAAATAAAATCAAAGATTTTAATATTAAATATATAAATTTAATAAAAAATAAAAAAGAGAGAATATATAAATATTTAGTGATAAAAACAAAATTTTGAATCTACAAAAATTTTATGTAGATTTTTAATGAATTAAATTAAATATTATTATAAATATAAAAATCCTATGTATTTTCATAGGTAAAAAACTAGTTGTATGTATAAATTTGAATTCCATTAATTTTTTGTTAGAATAATCAACAATTTTGAAAGTATGATAATATAATTTTATAAAATAACAAAACTCTTTAAGTATATTTTTTTTAAATAACCAATAAATTTGAAAGTACAATGATGTAGCTTGTACGATAACAAAATTCAATATAAACTCATTAACTAATAGTATAGTGATAAATTTTATTTTTATTTTTTTCATTGTTTTTCGTTTTCTTATATATAATACAATTAGAATATCATTAGATATTTAAAAGTTCTTGTATCAGTTTGTTCATTCATAATTTTACTCTCGAAATGTTTTTTTACAGTGATTAAATTTTGGTTTACAATAGCAAAAGTTTTACTCATAATTAATCATCGTGAGTATATATTGTTTTACTAATAATTTCTTTAAAACTTTAAGATTACTAAATACATTAATTTAAAAGTTTCAATCATTAACTTCACATACATGTCAATAAAAAAACTTTATTATTAAGTTTTGCTTTGTACAATGAGGTTTTGGCTTAATGACAATAAAGAAATTCTAAAATTTTACGTTATGTTTGGATATATATAAATAAAGGAAAGGATAGAAAAGGAAAAGAAATAAGAGAAAAGTTTTTCAAAAGAAATAAAATGATACATGTATCTCTTGTTTGGATAGTTAAAATTAATAAAAGAAAAGAAAAAAAATGAATTCTAACAAACATTATTTAGATAAATAGTGAAAAGAAAAGAAAATAATTTATTATAATATTTATTTCCAATTATTACCTTTTTTTTTATAAAATAACATATAATATACAAATATATTTTTATATTATCTAGCTTGTATAAACAAATCTTTTTAAACAAGATTGAACATCTTTAATAGTAAGATATATTAGCTAGTTAATTATTTACTCTTAATTTTGTGTTTAATTCAGCTTTTTTAATTTATTTTAACAATAATTTGACTTATTTTGTTGTTAAGACTTGAAAATTTATAAAATATTTATAAATTGTGATGTTATATAAAATATCCTTAAATTCTTTTTTTGTAGAAAGTATCAATTATATAACAAATATAACGTAATAATAAAATGAATATAATAATCTTTTTATAAAAATAAAAATTTTTCAACTTTCCTTTTCATAGTTTTCTCAAATTAAGGTATTAAAAAAAAAATGAAGATTAGAAGGAAAACTAAAGATTATTGAGTTTTCATTTCTTTTTTTTTAATTAAAAATTTATCCAAACAAAAGAATGATTTTTCTGTTTTATTACTTTCCTTAATTTTCCTTTTCTTCCTTTCCTTTCAACTAAATCCAAACATAGGGTTTTTAGTTTTTAATAATTTAGACTTATAACCTACTTATTATAAAGGAAAATTATTTGATATATTAATAGCAAAATTTTTTAATTTTACAAATAAAATTAAGATGGTGGCACATATATTATTTTTTTAATTAATTTTTTTATTTTTTTAAATATACACAAAGAGATATATTATCATTTTAATCCCACTTAGTTTATTTGATAATTTTTTCATTTAAAAAATATTTTCTTGCACAAACCTACATATATATATTTTATGAGGAAATGAAAGGTCAATAAAAAGCAAATACAATGGAGAGGAAGAAACCTAGCAACTTCTTTTGATTTTAAGAGAAAAGGTTGGAGTTGCTTGACTTTAGAATTCAAGATTTTGTTTTTTTAAATAAACTTAGAAAGAGGGCGAAAATTACATTAAATTTATTAAGTGAAACAAAGAAAATCCGGGAAACGGAATAAACCAACCAAATCGTACTACTGGTTTTTTTTTAATAAATTACATTGCACTGCATAAAATACGGAAAATTGAAAGCAAAAGAAGGCTTATAATAATAGTAGGACCACGTAATAATACACATCTACATACATAAAAAAAAATTAATAATCAGAATATGCTTAAAGAAAAGAATATTCCTAAAATGGACTTATAATGGTGGTCAGGTCGGGGCTTCGGTCACTCAAGGAACCATGTAGATTGTAGGCCACCTAGCATTTCGATTCCCAACCACGAACCCCACCCGATTTGGAGACAATTGTAAATGCAAAATCGTTTAACCAAGAAAAGTTTATTCTTGATAAAAATGAGAAATAAATCCTTTGGCTTTATTTTCGGAAGGAAAATATATATAATATGAGATAAAATTTCGGAAAACCATTTTCTCTTACTTTTTCCCAAAAAACAAAAAAACCTTAAAAAAAGGAAAGTCAGGAAAACAAGGAAAAAATGTTTCGTCTTCTCTGAACTTGCCGACGAGATCCATTTCCATCTCTTCCTATTCGTTCCTTCATCATCGTCTTCAAATCTCTACCCTCGACGCCGCGGCCGCCTTTGTTTCCTTCACGACTTCTGCCTCTTCAACGCTCTTTTTGCTTTCATTGACGGTGAGGCATCGGTTTTTTTGTCGAATGATTTTGAGCACTCTGATTTTGAAGGGGATGAAACAAGCCACCTATTGATGTTGAATGGAAATGAGATAATTTCAATATTTTGCAATGAAAAAAGCCTTTAGTTTTCATGTGGCTTCTCTTTAATTTCAATAAATTTCATTTTTTGATTGATTCCCGATTCCAAAGGCATATTCGTGAATGAGTAATTTTCCTTTGGGTTGTCTTTAATCTCAATATTTTCACTTTTGACTGATTCCTAATTCCATAGCCATGGTCTTTGCAGTGCTTTGGTTGGAACTGATGTCTGGTTTTTGAATTTAGGTGTTTTAATCTCCTAGTCCTATTCATAGGTTTTGCAATATCCCATAAGTTATTATTGGTGGTTTTTCTGTTTCTCCTTTCATGTGGAACTAATGGCTTTGAGTTAAGGGTCTAATTTTCGGGTTTGTATGGGGAATTAGAAGGAAAATTTTTTCTACATTGAGTTGCCTTGGGGAAACAATGTTGACACAGTAGTAAAACACTGCTTATATAAATAGGAAGAACAAAGGGTCAATTTGACAACTGAACAAAAAATTGTAGTAGGACTTGAATAATGTAAAATGTAAGTGAGGCCAAAGAAAAGAAAGGAGGAATTTTCTTTCTTATTTTCTTTGTCCTCCAGGCAAGATGAAGAGGTTTATTTTCCTTCATATTTGTTCTTTCCCTTAAAATTTCCATGAACCATACAGAGCTTAAGAGAAATATGGGAGAAGGAGAAATCCTAGAACAAAGAAGATCCCTGGCAGCTCCTCTCATCTTTTTCATTTTCATCATCTTCCAATTTGCCACCAAATGGCTCCATGATTTAAAGAAGGTACCTAATTCTGGCTTGATATTGTCATGTCTGGTTGCTCAATTTGAAGATTGTAAATTCTATTGCGATTTTTCACAATGTTGATTAGCTTTTCCTTTTTCATGATCAGGGAGCATCCAAGACTGACAAAGAAATCCAGCTTCGCGGAGAGATTAAGCAGCTTTTGAAAGAGGCTGCCTCCTTTTCACAGTAGGTGATCCAAATAGCGTTTAAGTCCATTTAATCAGCTTAGCAATCGCAATTGCTTGATAAGCAACATCTTTTTGGCTTCATAGGCCGTCTACATTTGCACAAGCCGCTAAGCTTAGGAGGTTGGCTGCTGCCAAGGAGAAGGAACTTGCAAATTGTAAGGCCACTTTCCTTTTTTAGCCATTGGTTAATAACTTGATTTTTTTCATTACATAAGCTTAAATGAATTTGATTCAACTTTTGTGCCAGTTAAATTATTGATAATTTGATATGGAGATCTGATTAGGAGTATGGAAAAAGGTTTCGTGTTCTAATTTTCTGGACTGTCAAGTTGTTAAGGTGTGTTAGGGGAAGCCTACTGTCTATTTACTGGTAAGTTTAACTAGTAAGGAGAGCAAGGATTAATTTAATCTTGAGAGAGGAATGAGATCGATTTCATTTGCTGTACAGAGTACATGTGCTTTAAGTCAGGGAAGCGCTGGTTTCAATTACTTTTAACTTTTATTATATAATCTTTCTCATTCTTCATTTATGGTTCCTATTTTTGTTTTTCTTTTTCAAGAAAGAGAGCTTTATCTCATAAACAGCAATCTCTTGTTTGCTATGGTCTAGTTATTTCCTTTTTTTTAACCCCCTTTAAGTTGTTAAGCTATATCACCTATGCTAATAGAAGAAACACTTGATGTCCAGATCAGGTGCAACAGAACAAAGAGGTGAAGCTGTCTTATGATTTGTATCTAAAAGTTTTGTTCATCTTAAAGGTGATTCTGTTTTTAATAAAACTGTCTAGAAGTTTGTATGTGCTTGTTTGCTTAATTAATGTTCCAAGAGATTGGTTGTCTGCATGTACAGGTCATAACTCATGCTTTGCTAATCTTCTGGTTTTGGAGGTCTCCTGTTGCTTCTGTATCTCAGCAACTTGTACAACCCTTTGGTAATGCACCATTATAATTGTGGCTATTTTTGTGTTACGTTTTTAGGTCTTTTTCTTGTTTGTCTGCGCCACTACAATTTTTTCTTAATATGCTTGCCCTGATCATACTGCCAATCAAATTCGGTATACATGTTTCTTAACGACAGGCTACCAAAATTAGATAAAAGTTGGTTCATAGGGCCAGAAAAGAATTGAATTGCACAAGAACGTAAAGAGTTGACAAGAAGCAATTGGACGACAAAATATGATTTACCCAAATCTGAGAAAATGGGTTGTTTATTGATTGAATATGACCGCCTTTCTTGCAGGGAAGGTGTTATCCTGGAAGACTGGGGGTTCTTTAAACAACAATGTCATGGTAAATTTCTTGGAATCTTCCCAATTTAGCACCTCTAATCATAATTTTAACTTCTTCCTTCTGTGATAGAATTAGGATTTGAATTCCATCTCTGGTTTTCTCTTGCTTATCCTAATTATTTATATCACTTATCTGCAAGACTACGACTCAGATGGAGGTGAGTCAAACTTGCCTGTTCCATACATGGCAAGATGGATTTTGATTGGTGTTCTGATTTATCTTGTAAATTGCAGGTTGGGATCATACCCTGGTTGATATTGTGTACAAGGGTTACCAAGTTTGTTTGTCGAGTCGTGGAGCAGAACAAAGGGCTTAACTAACGATATGCTTTTGGATGCTATGCTTCTTGGATTCGTGAACAACGTCCTGTGGGATGTAGTTTTGATTTTGAAGTTGTGAATTAACATGATTTGTAAAATTTATTCATTCATTTTATTTATCAAGAAACAAAAGTGCGAAATTTTGATGAGCTTTCTGGTCATTTCCTTTCCTCTCTTTTACTTTTTGTTTTTTTTTTTCCTTATTAATTTAAATTTTAACAAATGAATATAATTTTGATGGTTCAAAGTTGAAAAGTATGAAATAAATGTAAATAAGGTTTTCTTTGTTTTATGAAAAATAATTTTCATTTTTTCAAGTATTTGTTTGGTAAAAATTTGATTGTTCAACAAAAAATAATTTATTGATTAATAAAAAATAATGTTATTTCTTTTAAAAAATTATCTTATCGATTTGGAAAAAAAAACTCTTTTGGAAAAAAATATTGTTTAAGAGTAAAATTATGTATCAATATTATTGAACATAATTTTACTTATAAATAATATTATATTAATAAATATTAATAAATTAATTAATAAATATTATAATAATATATTATTAAATAATATATTATTAATATAATATATTAACAATTAATATTATAATATATTAATAAATAATATAAAGAATAGTAAATTGTTTTATTTTAAATATTTTTATTTTAATATTAAAATTTTTATTAAAATATAATTATTTTTAAATATTAATAATTTTAATAATAAATAATTTCAATATACTTTAATAATAGATAATTTTTAATATTTTAATAATTATATTAATATTATTTAAAATTTTGTTTAAACAATCAAATAACAAAAAATATTTTTTTATTAATTTATTCTAATAACAAAAAATTGTTTTCAATTTAAAATATATAAATATTTTTCAAAAATTATTTTTCAAATATATAAATATATCGCTTTTTACATCTATTATTCAATTTATTTATATTTTCCTTTTCTAAATTATTTGAAAGAGGTTCCCTTTCGTCATTAACTTGCTACTCTTTAATCTGCTAGCATTTCTTCTTCAACATGGAGGACCTCCCACCCTACCCCCCAATTGATCCTACCACCTTCGACCTCATCGTCATAGGCACCGGCCTACCAGAATCCATTATAGCTGCCGCCACCTCTACCGCCTCTAAATCCGTCCTCCATCTCGATCCTAATCCCTTCTATGGCTCCCACTTCTCCTCTCTCCCTCTCGCCGATCTCCAGGCCTTCCTCTCCTCCCATCCGACCTCACCCTCTTCTGGCTACCATCACGATTTCTCCGTCTTCGATTTCGCCACTCGTCCTCTCTACTCCTCCCTCGACATCTCCAGTTTTTCCCCTGACCTCCTCCATCAACACTCTAGAAAGTTCAACCTCGATGTGGCTGGACCTAGAGTCTTCTTTTGCGCCGACAAATCTATTGACTTGATACTAAAATCTGGAGCCAACCAGTACATGGAGTTCAAGAGTATTGACGCCACTTTCGTAGGGGACGACAAGGGAAACCTCTGGAGTGTGCCAGACTCCAGAGCTGCCATATTCAAAGACAAGAGCCTGGGACTCTTGGAGAAGAATCAGTTAATGAGGTTCTTCAAGCTGGTGCAGGGACACTTGGCTGGCGAACAAGGCATCCAGATTTTCGAAGAGGATTTGCAGAGTCCGTTTGTTGACTTCTTGAATAAAATGGGATTGCCTCCCAAGATTAAATCGTCTGTTAGACACAACTTTTCGTTTTTATTTTCCCATCTCTAGTTGCCTCCTCATTGCTTTAATAATTGCCGTGATTCTCAACTGCATTTGAATTTTTTTTTCTTGTCTTTGTAGCTTTATACTTTATGCAATAGCGATGGCGGATTATGATCAAGAAGATATTGGAGTTTGTAGAGATTTGCTCACGACAAAAGATGGGATCGATCAATTGGCTCTGTATAATGCATCTATTGGCAGGTTAATCTTTTCTGTTCATTCTTCAAGCCTTCAACTAAAGTTAAAAATTTTTAAATTCCATGTTGATATTTGAATAGAAACTTATTATAGCACAAACCATCTAACTTTTTTTTTGTTAAATGCAATTATTTTTATCTCTAGGTTTCCAAATGCACTTGGGGCTTTGTTATATCCTGTCTATGGGCAAGGGGAACTATCCCAAGCCTTTTGCCGTCGTGCTGCTGTCAAAGGTTGCCTTTATGTAAGTTCTGATGAGGAGAATTCTTTTCATTGATAACTTTTATTGCAGTTATCGATGCATTTCCTGCCATTGTAGGTTTACCTTTTTCATCATGTTAACCTGATTTTTTGTTTACATTTCTTTTTCTTGATATGGTAGCTTTTACCTATTGTTTTTTATGTGAATTGAGTGGATTCAGTTGCTTGATATTTAAAAAGCTTGGTTGTCTACAACTTTCTGCTAATGGAAGCCATAATCAAACTAATTAATGTAAATCTGTAGAAAAACTCCAGAAGAAAGTAGCAATTTTTTTTGTGCTAAAAAGGTATCAGAATGGTGCTTTCACTTACCAATGATTTCACAGTACCAGCAACTACAAATCATCAAAATATCCTCTTATGTCCTAATTGGAGATGTAAAAATAGTTTATCTGATTTAGTTCTCTTCAGCAATATGCATCTCCTCTATGAGTTGGTTGAATGCATTTCATATCTTTGAGCATGCCCTATACCTTGTAGCAATAGGGTGGCTCATAAAATTCAACCGTGCGACCAACAACCTGATTTTGTGTGAAATTATTATGTTTTAGCTGTAAAATTAAGATACTAAACTGTTTGAATAAACGTTACACAGGTATTGCGTATGTCAGTTACTGCATTGCTTGTAGACAAGGTACGGAAGCATATGCCTAATTAAATTATGTTAAATATTTTGCCATCTGAAGCAGACTGTTTGGACAAGTTAGGGTAAATGATCTTAATGTCTTTTCTTTGAAAACTTTGCAGGATACTGGGTGTTATAAGGGTGTTAGATTAGCTTCAGGTCAGGATATATTCAGCCAGAAACTGATCCTTGATCCATCCTTTATGGTACCATTGCCAGCAGGCTCATCCCTACCACATCCACTTCAAGATAAGCTTCCAGTTTTCAGTCTTAGGGATGATAGAGGAAAGGTAGCAAGGGGAATATGCATCACAAAAACTTCTTTGAAACCCAATATATCAAACTTTTTGGTTGTATATCCTCCAAGATGTAAGATCAGTTTCTTTTGCGATTGTTGAAGATAAGAAACTAACATAAAAAAGCTATAACTTTTTGTTTCCGTATTTCTCCTAGCATTGTTTCCTGAGCAGGTTACTTCAATCAGACTTCTGCAGATAGGTAGCAATTTGTCTGTTTGCCCACCAGACATGTAAGTTTGGTTTAGTTTCTGAAGAGGATAGGTTTTCTCTTCTGTCTGTTTTACATTGATGAATTTTATAAACTGTTATCTTTTTGCTTCCTTGTTGAAATTCTTTCCCCATGGTTGTTACCATTGAATATGTCATTTGAGATCAATTCTGTAAGAACTATTTACCTAGCATTTAGTAATATTGTCTTTCGGACATGAAAAGCTTAATTCTATGTTTTTATTGATAATGACTCTCTGGTGAATAGTGAAAATTTACAATACCCAAATATGTCCTCGAACTTTACTCAAAAGTGGAGTTTAGTCTATGACCTTTTATTGCATGAAATTAGGGTTATGAACTTTTATTTTGTTGTAATTAGAACCTTGACGGTATAAGTTATTCGTTTTTCTGTTAAAATTTTTTTAGTTGGATGATTTAATTTGTACAAAATGCTTACTTAGATTTATTTGGATGCGTTGAATTACAATTATTTGATGAAATGTTATTTAAAAAATTCAATCAATTGTGCATTCTTCATCCATTTTTAAGATTTAATAGATATAATTATAATGAAATAAAAGTTTTTAATCTTAATTTCATGCAATAAAAGATTGATGGCTTATTTGCATTTTTGAGTAAAGTTTGAGGGTTTATTTGGGTATTAAGCCTTATTATTATTACCCTGGTTAATGTTTTTCAGTATCTTTTGCATAACTAGAATGGAGTGATTGAAGTCTATGCGCATAATGCAAGAATGTAAATATTTCTACCTGTTCTATTCAGGTTTGTGTTATATATTTCAGCATTATGTAAGGACGACGATCAAGGAAAGAAGTTACTTCATGCAGTCATGAATACCCTTCTTACAGTACCTGTTTCTATAAATTCTGAAAGTAATGCTGCAGTTCAAAGTGAGACTGCAGAAAGTGGTTGTGCAGTTCTAGATGAGACTGCAGAAAGTAGTTTTAGAGGTCGAAGTGACCCTGGAGAAGGAAAACCTACTCTACTTTGGAGTGCATCGTATATTCAGGAGCTTACTTTGGTATGTTGCTTATGGTGGCTTTTTCTTGTGTAGATCTTCTTAGTTTCTAATATTTTGGTATTGTTACTATGGGCCTGCGTTTTATTGTTCTGCTTTCTTTTTTTAGAATAATCATTACTCCTTCCAGAAATGTTTAACACTTGGGACAAGGCTTTAGAGGGATGACACATTCTGCCCTCACAGAACTAGGACTTGGACTTTTGTTAATGTCAATATATGGTTGACTGTAATGCCCTTTTCAACGGATTTATGTTTTGTTTTCAGGGTCAAGTTGATTTTATCTGTTCAACTCCCATGCCAGATGGAAAATTGAACTACAATGATCTCATAGATGTGACTTGTAAGGTACATCATTTGCTAATGTTCACGAAATTTAAAATTCTATTTTACATGAGTGAGCTACTTTTTAGTTGATGTGATTATTGTTCTGTCACAATTTGCTACTGATACAATTAGCATGTTTTTGGGGTTTCTTTGTTTGATCTTTGAAGTAGTTTCTTTGTTCATTGGGATGAATTTTACAATTCATTCAAAGCTAAATGAACATTAACTGTACTAAAATTACAATGTTTGACATTTCTAATTGCTGATTGGAATGTATTGCTGGTTGTGGAATTTGACAGTTATTTCGGGAGATGTACCCCGAGGAAGAATTCTTTCCAGAAACATCCTCGGAGAATTCTGAGGGTGATGGTGATGTTGCTCTGGAGACATAGAGATTTGCTGAATGCAATATTCTCTATACTTAATGGAGCATCAAACAATCAGAATCCTTTTCGAAGATTGTGCTCAAGTGATGGGAGGATGCTGCTATCTAATGATCTATTTAAAGTGGTGAAGAGAAAGGGAGAACTACATACAATTCCAAAACATGGTGAGGAAACCTAACAAATTTTCAGTCTTTTGCGGATAATTAGACAACTGTAGGCTTGGTTTCCCTTGTATAAACTTGTGTTGTATCCATCTCTTGCTAGTTTTGTATTTGGCCGGATCTCTTGCTAGTTTGATAGTTCTGATGTAACGGTAAAAAAAAAAAACATTTTTTATCTGTTCCCAAAGTATGAAAAACAGTTGCAGTGGCAGTTATGAAGAGTATTTGGTCGTTGCATTAGTTGAATGTTTCCATTCACATTCTTCTCAGTTAAATAAAATGCCATACCAATATACCATAAATAATCAAGGCTTTGATCTGTCATTTGCTATGATATGGGCTTATCTCTGTTTCCTTTATTATACTCTTTTGATAGGGAATAAGGAATTAAGGATCCTTTTGGTAAGACTCCAAAGAATCATTTCACCTATAATTTTTTTTATATTATTGTCTTTCAATAATTTAATTATAATAAAAAATTATGTTAAAATCTAATATTTAAAGTGTGATTTTCATATAAAATTTGATTGTATCGCATAATATTATTTGTTATTGATAGGCGATATCTTTTGCCGGTGTCTAATGTCTGATGTCTGAACTAAAGAGTCAGTTTGTATTGTTATTAAGGATTTTTTTTTTCATTGGAAGCTTGTTAAAGTTAAGAAAATGCAGCCTCAATTCTAATTCCTTATGCCACTTCTCAGACATGCGGCCAAGGTCTCAACTCTCAAGGTAGTAGTTGAAGCGGCTTTCGTGAGCAAAGTCGGTTTAATTATTGGTGCTTTCTAATTGACATAAACACCCCTCATTCCTCTCCACTTTGTCAAACAAATGGTCAATCTCTACCCAAATTTTAGTTTTGGGGGAAGGGTGATAATGGCATCACAGTAATTTTTAGAGAAGATAACAATCATCAAAAGCAAGGAAATATGACCAACTTTATGCATGTATTTACTATTATACGACAAAAATTAAAACGTCGGATTCTTTGTTTGTGACACAGACACAGGGCTTCCCATCCACAGTAACCCTCTTCTTTTCAATTTCATAAAGTCGCACTTTATAAGCAGCAAGTGCAAGTTGATTTTCAATCTCGATTTTTTTTTTAATTTTTTATTTAAGAATGCAAGAATATGAACGTTAATCATTAAAATAAAATTTTTATATTTTATATAAAAAAATTACGCAATTGTTGATATAATATAAAGTTGGAGGGAAAATCTCAACATTTCAACAATACTAGATTACACTTTGAGACTGATTAAATTACTTACAAGGCATCAAAATGATTTCTCTATCCATACTTGCAACTTTGATTTAGAAAATAAAATCAAAACACGAGAAGAGTTCATCAGTAGTATTTAGGGATGTTGATTATTGGGCAACGCAACCGTCACAACAGAGTATTCAGGGAAAACAAACCCAAAATTGCTTTTGCACGATTTTCATTTTTTTTTTTTTTTTATAAAGTCACATAAATGAATGATAGAACAATATAAAATTGAGGGTACGAGAAAATGAAAAAGATTGAAAAACCATGGTCCCTGGCTGGAGCCGGGATGTAGAATCATGCAAACTTGTCCTTCTTGACCGGTAGACCTTCATTTCTATCTTCTGTCCTTATCCTATTCTTGTACTTCATATCACATTAGATTGATGATCTCTTCTTCTTCTTCTTCTTCTTCTTCTTCATGGAGTTGTCTCATACCCCTTCACTGAAAAATCTCTTGGTCTTCGAAAATACCATCAACAATGGTAGTTAATCCCCTCGTAAAAGGAAACCAATGCTGCCTTATCATAAAAAATAAAAAAAAAAGATTTTTTTTGTTAGATTTTCTTTTTGGGCTTAGTTAAAATGTTGTTTCCCATCCTTGGCTTCTCTGTTTGTGTTCTTTGCAGAGTTGATCAGAAGCTTGCATGTATACCGATTGGAGAATGGAGAGGGAAATGAGGTTGAGAGAGAGTTTGTGTTCAGAAAAGATGGTCCCTATGTGGAAATGGCTGCAACCCCTCTTCTTCGATTGCAGGGGTTTCGAGTTCAGGAGCTTTTTGAAGGCAGAGTTATCGGTTTGTGGCTCTGCATTTTTGCATATCATGTCCATCGTCTCCCTCGTTTCTTCTTCATTCCTTCTTTACTCTCCATTTCCAGGTACCCCGTTTTCAGATATTATCGGTGCTCATTTGCTAGATTGATCGATTCAATGAAATTGGATCAATTTTGTTTTTATGCAAGGATGATTAATCTGTTATATGTGCATGCAAAGCCTGGGTTTTTATTTGATAAATTCAATGGCAAAATAATTTATTTATTTTTTTTTTACCTTTTAATTTGATTATTTGGTGTTTTAAAATAGAATAATTTATTGAATATTGTGATTACAGTAGCCGTGCTCAGAAGCACACTTTATTCATCCAGATTACAATAACTGTCACATCATTTTTGAGTCTTATTGCTATGATGTTTCACTTAATGCTAGTAACCCACTAAACAGGGAATTAAGTAGTCAATAGTGGCCAATAACAAAATCTTCTTGGAGAGCCATTGTTGTCAATCAGTTGATGCTTCTCAGCAAAGGATTAGCCAAATAGAGGGGTCTTTAATGGATTGCAACATGGCATTAGTTTATTTTCATTTTCCCTGCAGCGCTAGTAGCATTGCTTTGCCATATTGATGTCTAATCATATTATGAATTTGATAGATATATTTTTTCTTCCTTTGCTTACGAACTTTTAATGGAATGATTGTGTTTTGAATATCATTTATGTGAATTTGTCAAGTAACTTGTGCAAGGTAAAATATTAACTTACTTAAAGTGCTTAAGGAAACCAGGTAGAAAATATATCAATATAAATGCTTCGTTACCAATAGCAAGATAGTCCATATTTGATACTTTGATTTTTCTAAGTTGGCCTTTTACTCTCCTGACCTTTCGTTATCAAAGACTTTAAATGCGATGTGTTCCAGTCTCCACTCTAATCTGACCCGGGCCTTTAGTAGGAAGTGCAGATTGCTTGACTTTTACAATTTCTTTCCAAGTCTTTAGAAGGAATTTTGGCATTCTGAGCTTGACTTCCATTTTGCTTAAATCATGTTTTCATATCTTTAGTCGCTCTAATAACTTTAGTCGTCATGCAGAAATCCCAAGCTGAAGTCTATCCCAACACTTACCAATGATCTTCAAATGATTTTCCAGAGGGGCTGTGGCACAGAAGATAGAGGACCATCTAGGGAGTCATCTAGGGAAACGTATACAAGTGATGTGGATAATAACTGCCAGTCAAAAGGAAGTCTGCTTGTACTTGATCAAGATCTTAACTGCCTCCCTAATTCAGTTGCTACATCTGAATTACTGAAATCTCAGCAAACTGAACACAGTGCAACAGGTCCTTTTAGAGCTTCCTCCTTTTGGTAATTTTACATGAATAAGAAGTCCAATATTCTGTAAAGAAGGATTTATTTTGTGTTTATTAATCTTCATAATTGCGTGAAAAAAACTTCTCTGGACTGTAAATTGGATCAATGTTGACTTACAATTATCATTAATATGCCAGAAACTTTTCAAAAAAAAGATTCGTATTTATTTGTCTCTATAAAACATGAATCGTTAGTTCTTATATATATCTTTTCCCATGACTTGTCACTCTCAGATTGATTCATTAGTTTAAGCTATTCCTATTGATGAATAATGACTGATACCTTTATTCTTTTAAAACCTATTTACTATCTGCCTTGGGAAATACATGAGAAGATTATTTGATGCTATAGACCATATTCTAATGTAATAGGTTTTCAAGAAGTGGATAAATTTAAGGATTTGTTATGCATTCCTCTTTATGATCTAAATTTGTCTGTGTTTATTAAGAACAATGTCTTAGAAACTGAGGGAAAAACTAAAGGTGTTGCAGTGAAAAAGAAAAAAAGAGCAGACTCTAAGGATGTAGCCGGAATTGCTCTTGAAGATCTTGCAAAATACTTTGATCTTCCGATTGTGGAAGCTTCTAGAAATTTGAATGTTGGACTCACTGTTCTGAAAAGAAAGTGCAGAGAATTTGGTATTCCTCGCTGGCCTCACAGGAAGATCAAATCCCTTGATGGTCTAATTCGCAATCTACAGGTCATTTCTATTCCCCTTTTGCTGTCAAATTGCCTCAAAAAAATTTTTTTGAGGGAAAGGTTGGTTTCAACTCTTTTTTTTCTTTTCTTTTTTTTTTTTGGCTGGTATTTTATTGTAAAGAAAAGACCTAAAGCTGATTGTGGCATATTGCTCAGATAATTACTAGAAAACTTGTAATTGAGTTGAATGCATAGAGCAAGATGTCTGAAATATATATAATTCTTATTACTAGGCATCGATAACTACAAATGTGTTGGCCAATAGTTGACTTCAATTCATCAAACCAAATGCATCCAAAACTTGATGTGACCACTACTTTAAATCTTGGAATGGACAAGGACAAATATTTGAATTTTGTATCAGTTAATATGTTAAATAAATATATATTTTCAAAGAAAAAACAAATATTTGACTTCAAAATTTGAACCGTACATTGTTGAATGATCCTTTAAATGCACACACATAGCTATGGTGCTAGCATGCAACCACTCTTCTTTTGTCTTGGTACATATGTATACATGTTTACAAAGAAAATTATACATAGTTGTCTGGACATCGGTTTTTTTTTTTTTTAACCATTTAAGACAAAATTTATGCAGGAAGAGACAGAGCAGCAGCAGCAAGAGGATGAGGCTGCAGCCTTTGCTGTAGCGAAGAGGCGAATGATGTTGGAGACGGAGAAAGAAAGTATAGAAAGGGAACCTTTTATTGACTTAAAGAGCGAGACAAAGCGGTTTAGGCAGGATATTTTCAAGCGAAGGCACAAAGCTAGAGCTCTTAAAAGTCAGTGCCTATCAGTTTTTCATGATCAAGTGACTGAATTAGATGATTAATATATATGACTATAAGTTGCTGACTTGGTGAAGACCTTTTAACTTAAAGATTGTAGTCAGATAAACACTTCCATATGTGAACTTTTGCCAATATAGTCCTTATGCTCTAGGACTAGGAGTAAGTGCAATGTGAAGTTCCCTTTTACATCCATTCATGCTTCGCACATGTAATGGGTCTTAGGTAGTGTTCCCCTCACTTTACCTTCATTCATTGTTGGTGCTCATTGTTGCCTTCCCTGGGTATCATATCATGTAGGTTTGAATGAATAGTTAGCTTATATATCAAGCATATCTCTAGAAGGAAAGAACCTTATATGTGGGACGTAATTAAGTTTCAGGGCTCTCTGGGGATGGAGAAACTGAGGTCGAATTCTTGCTGGTTTTTTGTTCCTTTGGAGTGTTCTTTCTAGTATGTGTTTGATTGATCCCATTTTCATGCTTTTGTGTTAGTGTGTGTGTATATATATATATATATATATAGCAGATCATAGCCTTTTGTTTTTTCACTTATGGATTTTGTGAAACAAATGATCACGTGATCAATGTATTTCACTTGAGAGCACAAGAGGTTTGCTTTGTTGTTGTCAGCAGCTATAGTACTACAGGAATGCAGAGCCATCAGCCATTGAAATCCAAAATGGGTAACAAAATAATAAGCATTTTGCAGTTTTTACTTTAAAAGGAATTGGATTGGACTGGTCGTAGGAAAAATTTGGACGTGTTATTTGCCAATGCCACCATTTATGGCAGATACAAGAATCTTTTTGGGATGTTTGGGATTTATTCATTGAAAGACTATGTATAAATTTATTTTATCAATTCTGTGAACGAATAAAGTATTTTAAAAAAAAACTTTTAAGTGTTTAAGTGAAATTTTTGTTTTAATTGTGACTGTGTCCATGGACACTCTAGAAATGCACGTAAATCCGGCTCGTGTGTGGCAGGTAAGGAAATGAATGGTGAAACCATACCTAACTAGCTACAGGAGAAAGAGATTGATGTGATGGGAAAAGGAACGATGAAAGAAAAAGCGGTTGGGCCGCGGATAGAGTAGCGTAGTGGGAGGATGGGAAGAAAGTCATCCTGGTTGGGCGCTGGCATTCCGGGACGGGAGGTTCCAAGCTCCAATGAGACGTTGGTCATCAAAACCGAGTGGGAGTCAATGGTAGTAGGAATGTGGGAATTACTCGAGGAAGGTTTTTTTGGATTTGGCTTGTTTAAAGGGAGCTTTGGTCATTTTCAAAGTGCTGCCCACGTTTCCACTTACTACGCTAATATTAAATTCCAAAAACTTGCTTTGAAATTAGATACAGCCAAGTTTAATTATATTAGTAACATGCTTGCGGATTTATTTATTTATTTATTGCTGTCATAGTAAAATAAATTATATCTTTTAAAAAGTATTTAAAAGGTCGAATATATAATTAGGAACATAAATAATATAAAGACGATAATAAAGTTTGTGATTTTTTTTTTATACTGTACAATCAAATTATAAAGTTTTTAATCATTCAAGAAGCGTAATAATTTAGTAGTTAAAAGACATAATTACCAATGTTAAAACCAAAACAAAGCAGTTAATTTTTTATTGTAAATTAAAATATTCTCCAATCATGATTGTGGTAAATGATAACATTAAAAAAAAAAATCAAATAATCCATACAATATCCACTTTCATAGCTTAAAACTGAAAATCTATGACTTCAATTATCAACAAAATTATAATGATAATGCAGCCTAGGAGTCCTACTTACCCCAATCTTAGTTCTTTAATAATTCTACTCAAATCCGACTAATACTTGATATCAAATTATTATTTTTTAGACATAACCTTAATTTAACTCGTATATATGCCACAAGCATCTAATCCTACTTAAATTAAATAATTTTAATTTAATATAATATTAATAAAATATTATTATTTGAATATAAATTACAGTTTAATTATATTTGGTATTGACATGAATAGAAAAAGAAAGAAAAAATATAAAAAATAACTCAATTGAGTACCACGTGGATTGCCTTAGTAACGTCCAAAGTCTAAAATATATAATTTGTGTTTGACCAGAATTGATAAAAAAAAATTTGATAATTTTAATTTAATATAATTTTCATAAAAATATGATTTTTAATATAAATTATATCTTAATTATATATAAATATTTTTTTAAATAACACATTAAATAATAATTTTATTACTATAATATATAATTAAATAAATAATAAAATATATTTTATATATATATGAGATGGGATGGAACACTTTAAATCTATTTTTGATTTGGATTTGATTTTTGAAAAAACCTTAACTTGATTCTAATTTTTTTAAAAATGCATATATTAGATCGAATAGAATTAAAATTATAGAATATGAATTGTTTTATCATCCTCACCTGAATTGATTTTTTTTTTACAAAAATTATCAAATTACAAAATAACTAAAAAACAAAGAAAATAGAAAAAAAAATCAATTAGGTTATTTTGTTATTTCTACCTCCCTTTATCTCTTTTCTTAAAAAATTAATCTAATTTAAAAGAGAAAGGAAAAACTAACAAAACAAGGGAAAGACCGACAAAAAATAAAGAAAAAAAGAAAGCAAAATGGGAATTGCCTCGTGGACACCTCTATTGATCTAATTTTCTTACAAAATTTATTATATAAATTAAAAAATTTTTTTGAGTGCTACGTTAACCTCTATTAATAGCCATTTCTTACAAAATTATTTAATTTTAAAAAATAAAAAAAATTTTTTAATCAATAATATCAAATGTATCAAACATAAAAATTTATTAAAAAAACTTGAAATAATTTATTAAATATGTATAGAACGAAAAAAAAAAAAAGGAAATTACAAATTGTAAAAGAAGAAAAAAAGAAAGCAATGGGAAGTGCCACGTGGTTGACTCTAAGGAAAGTTAAAGTTTGCAAAATAATGTATATGATATTAAATAAGAAAAAGGAAAAAACCATTTCACAAAAATGAAAATATTTATTAAATATATAAAAAATATATAAAGAAAAAGGCAAACATGTGATATATTTTTAATGCTAATTTGGATTTTATTGCATATTTGATATGGTGCAATTAAACTTTCACACTATCAATTGAATTTAAATTCTAACTCCAATGATATTCATTTAGCATAAAATTTTTTGAATCACAGTTACAGTAATTTTTTTAATCATAATTATAGTAGTTATTATTATTATTTTTAATTTCACCACTATCAATCTCATTATTTATCCAAATGAAACCTGAATAACAAATGAGTTTTACATAAAATTTAAAATTTAAAAATTTAAAAAAATTATTAAAATTTAAAAAATGGTATAAAAAGAGTAAAAGAGGAAAAGCAAGAAAGAGAAAGTTTGGTGTACATAGGTCCTACATACAAAAAATTTAAAATTTTTAAAAAACTTTATTTATTTTAACAATTTTTAGGGAAATTAATTAATTATTAAAAATAAAAGGAAAAAAAAAGGGAAAAAAATAGACAACAAAATCAAATGGGACCCATAATAATTTATTTTAAAAATAAAATAATTTATAAGTACGTATAAAAAATTAAAATTAAAATAAAAAAGCCATAAAATTATACCACTTGGCATATTGTAGTGTAAGTAAAAAAAGGTCAAAATGATCAAAATTTAAATAATAAATTTGACATATGGTGATGAGAATGTGACCCCATTATTTGTTTGTGTCTACTTATATATTATACACTTATCCAATTAAATATGACGTGTTGATAAAAAAATTAAATTTTAATTCTAATGATCAAAATTTAAATTCTTCAATTTTAAATTAAAAAAAAATCCAAAAATCAAGATTATTCATTGTCATACAATTAAATGGTATAAATGGAGCAAAGTACGACCGTCGTTGACAAACAAACTTGTCAATTAAATTGAAGGACACTGCATTGCACTTTTAAAATCCATTTCATGCCAGTACTAGTACTTACTTCGGTTTTGACTTAGTTTTTGTATGATACATTATGCATTACATATAAAATATAAAATAGTCTTCTCTTTTTGCTATTCTAAAGGGAAGAAAAAAAAAAGAATTCCTTCAAGAGAATACATGTGTTTGTTACTGAGAAAAACTTTTATATTCATAGTCTTAAATTTTTTCATGGTAAGAAAATGAAAGAAACGTTTCTTTTGACCATATGATCAGGAAAAAGCCTATTTTTTTAAAAGAAAAATGAGACTTTCCTCCATTGTATGAACAGAAGAAAGGATATTGAATGCGTAGTGGTATTGACTACACTGTAAAAAGTGCAAGGAGGATGAAACAATATTGTCACACGGTAGTTTACTCGTTGAGTTGATAAGATTTAAAATATTAAAATTAAAATTTTACTGTTAACAAATTTTTTTAATAAATAAATTTAACATAAATCTTATTTATGATTTCTCTGACTATAGAATAAAAATTTTTTCTCCTCGACCAGTTTGATTAATAAAGAGTTAAGTTTCTTTTAAATAAAATCTTGAATTCTAATTTTATGAATAAAAAATAAATATTAAGCGAGTTTATTTTTTATGAGATTTAGTTTAATTCAATTATAAAATAATCAAACTTTAAAATAATTATCAAACATAAAAAAATTTTAATAAAAAAAATAATTGCCCTCGCTTAAAACTTTTTTAGGGAAAAAAAATACGTTCACACACACAGGTGCAGAAGGAAAGGCAGCCGTCGAGAACTTCTGTTTCAACTTAACACGGTCTTGTTGACCTACGCATTGCTATTCCCATGATGTTTGGAAAATCAGTCAACCGAAGCTACAGTCTATATGGTCCATAATCCATGTTATAAGGAGAATATCAAGAGCAGCACCCAAATATCGCTTAAAGTCACTATGCAACCTTTTTTCAATAGTATCATATTTGGAGTGTTATATTCTTTTTCTTTTTTGGTAAGGGAAGCAAGAAAGTTGATTCCCTAAAACACCCAGGAAACAAAGGGGCCGTTTCAAAGACCTTTGGAACCCAACCTTTTCCACTATCTTGCCTAGAAATTTAACTACTTGTACTGCAAAGAATGCTGTTCTTGTTCTCCAGACAGGCTTGGTGAGAGAGATAGAGTTGCTATCCAGATGGGTAATTGCTGGGGATCTTCTTCTGATCCAGATACTAGTCACTATTACAGCTCCACCAACATTCCTACTACTCCAGGTAATTAATTCTTACCCATACTTTACATAGTACTCTGCTTGATTTCAAAAGTTTAATTTCCTTCAAATCTTTTGAGGTTTTTAATTAATTTATTTTGTAAGTAGTTTCTTTTTTTTTTTTCCCTGGTCATGAAAGGAGAAAAATAGAATATATGGATACAAAAAGACTGTTACTTTAGTTAACTTTTTTTTTTAATCTGCAATAGGTACATCAAACAACTGCAGCAACAGCGTAGAATTTTCAGCAACCAGCAGTGCTAGCAATTGCAGGAGTCAATTCTCAGAGACAGTGAGCGAAATTGTGGACGAGGGAAGCCCTAATGGGCGGATCCTGGAAACGCCAAACTTGAAAGTCTTCACTTTTGCAGAGCTGAAGACTGCAACCAAGAACTTCAAAGGTGATACACTGTTGGGTGAAGGCGGTTTTGGTAAAGTTTACAAAGGTTGGGTGGATGAGAAAACTTTAACACCCTCCAGGTTTGGCTCTGGAATCATTGTTGCCATCAAGAAATTGAGCCATGGAAGTATGCAAGGCTTTGAAGAGTGGCAGGTATTTATTAATTCCCATGTTATCACCAATTTGAACTCGGTTACCATTCATTTATCCTATACTTCAAGGAATATGCCTTGTTATTTTCTCAATTTGTTTCTAGTATTTCGGTAGACGGCAAGTGGATTCATCCAAAAGTAAAGCGAAAAAGACGAAGAGCAAGCTGTTGTTTGCTTTATCAAGGGAGCCTTTAATCCTTATCTGATTAAAAAAAAAAAAGCTTTAAGCGTTTAATAATTTTCTACTGTTAATGGGAAAGTGGGTTCCATTTCGCATGACTTTTATTTTTCCATTGAGTCATTGACAAAAATGTCCAGCACTGAATGATTGATAGCATCTTCTCAGTTATAAACCTAACCATGACACCAATAATTCAATGCCATCGCGTTCTACGTCAATTTAGGCAATTTTCTTTATTTTAACGGTTTTGATTAGTTAGTAGTATATCCTATTCAAGATTCTCTGTCAATGCTAACCATTAATTTTATTCTTATTTTCTTTCTGCTTTTGTCTCGTTGTTATGCAGTCAGAGGTGAACTTTCTAGGAAGGTTATCTCATCCCAATTTGGTCAAGCTGTTGGGATACTGTTGGGAGGATAAAGAGCTTCTTCTTGTGTACGAGTTCATGGAAAAAGGAAGCTTGGAAAATCATCTATTTAGACGTAAGATTTAAGAATTTTAAAATAAATAAGAAAAAAAATTTAATTTCAAATGGATAAATCATGTTGATTGCTTGATTATTTGGTTATGCAGGAAATCCAGCAATTGAACCATTATCTTGGGAATTAAGGCTTAAAATTGCCATTGGAGCTGCTCGAGGTCTAGCTTTTTTACATACATCAGAGAAGGTTATTTATAGAGATTTCAAGGCCTCTAATATATTGCTTAGTGGGGTTAGTCCTTCTAATTTTGCTTCATGAAATTGTTTTTTTTTTCTTAATCTTAAGTGCATGCATTTCTGATTCAAGATTATTAATCTCTACTCACTGTTGGAAACAAGTCTAAAGTATGACCTTTTTCCCTTTAACAAAACTTAGAATATAATTGCAAATGCAATGGAACCTCTCCTTGAAGACTGGTTCAAGATTGATATAGTTTTCAAAATCTTCTGTCTTTTTTTCTTTTAAAAAAATTTTTTTTTTTCGGATAATATATAATTTTCAAATTCCAAGTATACATTTCTTAATTGAAATTGTTTGACTACCCAGTTGAATGAAAGGTGCGTCTGTGTTGCTATAACTGAGGGGTTGGCTTTCTTTTTGTTTATTGGATAAATGGTATTTTATGTATTCTGCTAATGGTGCCAACTGTACAAAACTACATATTTACAAAAGTAAACAACTAAGTATCATGTACAGACAAAGAAAGAATCTCAAAATCTCCACTTTGTACATGACAAGTATTCATATTAGCGGCAACCTTAGTAAACCCATTCAGCCAAGGAGGGTTAGCCTTTTGTTTAGGAATCCATCATCTTAGGTTAAATATAAAAATTGTCCTTGTATTATATAGTTTTTGTCAGTTCAATATCTAAAAAATTAAAATTATTAATTTTGTACTCCAATTTTTATTCTGTCATATATTTTAGTGTTTGAGCTAATATTTATGGTTAACTTATTGATGTGACATGAATATCCAATGTTAATATATGTCAAAAAGTTTAGTTAATATTACATCATTAATTATCACATCAATATTAAAAAAATTTTAAAAAAATTTTTAATTTTTTTTAAAATTTGAAGTATTTTAAATATTATAAAAAAATTAAAAACTAAAATATTTTTAAAAAATTAAAACAATTATGAAAACTTAAAAAATAAAAAAATAAAAATTTTAATAAAAATAAATTTTCTTAAAAAAAAAAAAAGAGATTCACAAAAAATTAAAAAATCTAAAATCTATAATTTTTTGAAAAAAAACTAAGAATTAAAAAAAAATTGTAAAAAATTTTGAAAAATTTTCATTATTTTGAATCTTACAAATTTTAATTTTTGATATATATATTTTTGAACTTTTATTAAATTTTAAGATTTTTTATTTTTATTTTTCAATTTTTTTTATTGTTATAAAATTTTAGAATGTTTTAGATTTTCTAAACTTTTTAGAATTTTTAAAAATTTTTGTGAATCTTTGTTGAATTTTAAGAAAGTTTTTATTTTAAATTAAAATTTTTATTTTTTTGAAATTTTCAGAAAATTTTTAAAAATTTTTGGATTTTAATTTTGAGATATTTGTTGAATTTTTAAAATTTCATATTTTTAATTTTTATAATTTTTAAAAATATTTCATATAATTTAATTTTTTATAAATTTAAAATATTTCAGATTTTTTAACAAAAATTTTAAGAATTTTTTAAAATTTTAAAAAGTTTTGTTTTTGAAATTTTCTTTTAATGATCATATGGTAATTGATGATATAGTGTTGACAGAATTTTTTTTATATGTGTTGATATTTTATTAGATATTCATATTATGTCAGTAAATTGAGTAACAATTTTAGTCTAGAATATCAAAGTACATGAAAAATTATAATATCAAATTGATAATTTTATTTTTTTAGATACCGACAAAAAATATATAATTCATGAATATTTTTATATTTAACTTTTTTTTTTTTTTGGTACATACGTAGTTAATGTCTTAGGAAAATTGAGGAAGAGAAATTTGCAAGCGCTGGGAATTGAACCTCAGCCTTGTTGAAATCCAGCTCCAAAAGTGGATGGGTGAACCATTTGGACTAAATCTCGGGTTCATCCGTCATCTTTTATTTGTTAAGCAGGCATCCTCTTTATAAAGTATTCCCACTCTGAGAGCAATACGTTATATTTATTTGTTTCTTGTTTTCTTTTGCAGAACTACAATGCCAAAATATCAGATTTTGGTTTGGCCAAATTAGGGCCTGCCGGTGGAGACTCACACGTAACAACCAGGGTTATGGGAACATATGGTTATGCTGCGCCTGAATACCTTGCAACAGGTGATGATGATATTAATATCAAGTTCAATTCTTGATAGTTGATATACTTTTTCTGTTGCTAACATTGTGTTTCCCATTATAATTATATGTCCAACAGGCCATTTGTATGTGAAGAGCGATGTGTATGGGTTTGGAGTCGTGTTGCTTGAGATGATGACAGGCTTACGAGCATTGGATACAAAGCGACCTCCCGGGCAGCAAAATCTGGTTGATTGGCTTAAACCAACTTTGTCTCAGAAAAGAAAGTTGAAAACCATAATGGATGTGCGGATTGAGGGCCAGTATTCGTCCAAGGCAGCAATGCAGTCAGCCGATCTCACTCTGAAATGTCTGGAGCATGATCCTAAAAACCGTCCATCCATGAAGGAAGTTTTGGAAGCATTGGAACGGATTGAATCACTTAATAAGGAAAAATCCAAGGACTCCTCTAAATCTGGCTCTATTCATTCTTCAACTACTTGCCAACAGTCTACTCCTCAACGTTCCCCGCGTCAGTCGAGGCAACATGGCGCTTCAGCATGAGCTCCAAACTAGAAACCCGGGGACAAGCTCAAAGTAATAAAACTTGGGCTCACGATCCTTCATGAATTGTGTGCCTTTTTTTTAAAAATGCATCTACATGTTTGTTCTTAGGTGTGGTGAATTTTTTTAATTAACATGATCAAATGATCATGATTTTTTAAAGAGATTTCTCCGTATCTTTAACAAGTTTTGTAATCGGTGTCTTCATTTTGGTATTCATATATGTTGTGTTGAGAATAGTACTCGTGTTTTTTGTAATGTAAATGTTGAATAGAGTGAAGAAGATTGTTGAGTTGTGTCGTTGTATCTAGTTTAATTGCCATCTTTAGTTTTGCTACATTAATCGGATGTTACTATCATTTGTCATGACTCGTAGCAATATGCGAAAAGATGGGTTTTTAAAGAATAATATCATAAATAATTTTTGAATTATAATAAAATATATAATGTGATATTTAAATTTTAAAATTTTTTAATTTAATATTTGAATTATAAATTTATTAATTAATAAAATTTAAAGAATTATTTGTCAATTATGTGTATCATTTGAAGTTAACAATATTAAAGGTTCATATATTAAATTAAAAAATTTTAAAATTTAAATATTAGATTGAATATTTTAATATAATTTAAAAACTATTTGAAAATTTAATTGTTTAATCAGACCAAAAAAAAAATCACCTAACTGTTGTAAGTCTCATAGATTTAATTTGATAAAAATCTACTTTTTCTTTTAAATGTCAATCTAAAAAATCCTAGCTATGGGGGAATATTTTTTTAATTTTAATTTACTTTGTTTTATGAATTGAGTGGTTGATATGTGGAACCTAGATCTGATAGGCCTTATCCCAAACACGAATTTGGATGGTTTTTAATTTAAGATCTATTTGACGGACGATAAAATTAATTTTAATTAAATTAAGATTTTATTTTGTTTTAATTGCATATCCAGTAAGGTATAATTGCAAAAAAAAAAAAAAATTGTGTCCATCGAAGGTAAACATCTGTTTAGATGTCAAAGCAGCGTCGCAGTTAGTTGCATTTTTTCATTGATGATTTTAGCTCCAGTTGGAGAATGCACTGGCTTCATTTTTTTTGTTTACTTTTTCGTCCTTTATTTTACGTTACAAAGACAATTTTCTTTATAGTTTAACTTTTTTATTTTTTATTTAAAAATTATAAAATAATTTTATTAATTTATTATAATAAATAAATTTTATTTATTATATAATAAATAATAAAATTCTAATTAATTTTATAAATGTTAAACATTTTAAAATTTTTGTTAATATAATTTTGACTCTAATGTCTTTTTATTACAATTCATTTCATCGTTACTATTGTTTTTACATCTAAATATATATATCTCATAACTGATTTTAATTTCATTCTTACAATATTCAATATCACTGCTATAATAACTAATCTCAACTCCACCATTATTTTTTATTTCATTGGAATTAATCCTACCGCTTATCCAAATGGATCCTAAAAATAGTGATAGTAATAAGACTAATTACTGTAGCAATGAAATTGATTACTATAATAGTGAGATTAAAATAAGTGATAAGATAAACGTTTGAATGTAAAAACAGTTAAGGGTGGTGAGATGAATTATAGTGAAAAGATAAAATGACCATTAAAGACATTTGATTAAAATTTGTATATAATAAAATTTATAATATATATTTGATATTTGTGACATTACTAAATTATTAAAATATATCAAATAACAATTTTATAAAAAAAATAAAAAACATTTACTTTTTAATTTCCCTTTGTTGAAAAATAATCAAAAAATTCTAACAAATGTGAAACATATATTTTTTGACTTGTGCTATAGTATTGCCGAAAAGTTATAAAGACCAAATATCTAGAATCCTATGAAAAATTTAGCATGTTAACTTTTGACATGTGTACCGCGTGCTACAGCACTGCCATCATTATAGTAACCGAAGACAGTTACAGTGACAATAGACTGTTATAGTAAATGCGATATTTTTACCTCAAAATAGGTTAAAATTGTAGAAGCTGAAAATGTGCCTAGGTTGCCTAAAAATGGCTTAAAGAGCCTAGTGAGAGCACTAAAAAAGTGTTAAAAAAGTGTGTCATGTAGTTCAAGAGTGGTGGTATATTTTGGGTTTTGTAATGTCTATCTTAGGATAGTGAAAAATACTTGTATAATCTCGAGGAGTGAGTGCTTATTGAAATGGTGCATGTTTGGGGCTAGTGTAGCCAGTGTAACCTTCATTATTTGATAGTGATTATTTTTTTTGTGGTGCTTATGAATGTAGACATAATGCCGACCCATGTATATTATTGGTGTTCTCTATGTTTTTTGTTGCTGTTTAATATTTCTGTTAAGGTAGATTTGGATGGTAAAGAATCTGTCATTATTCATGTATACAATATTGTTCATGTATAAGGTATTGTTCACGTACACAAAGAATGGTGGTTTCGTACTTTAGATTCTTCTTGCTATAAATGGCATCAAGATCATTGATTCCTGACAAAGTAGGATCGAAGCATGCCTTGGTTCCTAACAAGTGGTATCAAAGCCTGGACATTACTTTGATGTATTTGTAGGTTCTTTTGAATGGGACAAAATGTTAGCAATGAAGTCTAAATTGAGATGAGAGAGATTTGTATCCAACAAATCCCTGTCAGCAATAAAGGAGAAAATGAAGATTACATGAACCAAACAATGCGGTGACAATCATCTTTTAAATTGGTTTTGATGCTATTGTTTGACGTGGAGTTAACTCAATAGAATTATCTTGTATGGCTATGTCATGTGAAACTCATATTGGTAATTCATCACAGTTGAGGTTCGATCTTACTAGACATGAAGACATAGTGAGTTTGAGTTATAAGTGTTCATCTCGAGTTGCATTTGTAGAGGTTTGCGACAAGATAATTTATTAAACAAGTATTCAATTATTTTATATAAAGAGTGCTTGCAGTTCATGCCTTTAGATAATTTTTTGGATTTGGTGGGAACCAATTGTGCACTAAGTCAATAGTTTGTCCAGAGAAAGGTGGGAGAAAAATTTTGCATGAATTGTGTTGTGAAAAATCACACTATTGGTAAAACATTAGTGTAACGCAATAGTTGTAGAATGGAATGCTTTTTTCTGGTTAGAGCAAATATATGCCATGTTAATTTGACTCTGGATGATTTTTTGGAATGTGATAGAGTGGAAGCTACTTATTTTTTGTTATGTTATTAGTTGGTTTACCATCTAATGCAAGGTTTATTGGAACTCCAAAGATTGGTCTAAGTCTTTATGAACATCATTATGGTTTCTTGGTTCAAGTGATGATGGTAAGCTTGATAATAGAAATGGTAAAGCCTATGAGTACATGTTGGGTGTTAAAAGGTACAATTTTAATTCCTTTGGTGACCCATAGATGATGTGATGAGACGATGTAGGATCTATAAGGTAGTCAAAGAGTTGTTTACATAGTTACACCAGGTGTTAGTAAGAAGGTGGAGTGCATGATAATGGTGGTAGTGAGGTATCTTTATGTTTTTTTTTTCCTTTGATGATAAAAAAAATATGTTTCAAAGAAATTGGCTAAGTAAAAATTTTCAAGTTAAGGTAGAGATTATTGAGAAATGACTCAAAAATTCTAGCAAATGTGAAATATGTATTTTTTTACTCGTGCTAAAGTACTGTCGCCTACTACAGTATTGTCCAAAAGTTGAAAAGATAGAATATCTAGAATTATGTGAAAAATTAGCGTAATAACTTTTGACATATGCATCATGTGCTACAGTACCGTTATCGCTATAATAATAGTAAATTGCTATAATGATAGTAGATGCTATAGTAAAAATGAATTTTTTTTCTATAAATAGGCTAAAGGTATAGAGCTTAAAATATGCTTGAAGTGCTTGAAAATGGCTTAAAAAGCTTGGGGAGAGCATAAAAAAAGTGTCAAAAGTGGTGTGCCATGTAGTTTAAGAGTGGTGATATATTTTAGGGTTTGTAATGTCTATCTTAAGATAGTGGGAAACACTTATATAATGTTAGGGAGTGAGTGCTTGTTGAAATGGTGCATGTTTGGGGCTAGTATAGCTATGGTAATCTCTGTTCTTTGCTAATGATTATTATTTTTTGTGGTGCCCATGGATGTAGGCATAATGTCAACCATGTATATTGTTGGTGTTTTCTATGTTCTCTGTTGCTGTTTAATATTTCTTTGAAGGTAGATTTAGATGGGGAAGAATCAATCACTAGTCATGTATACGGTATTGTTCACGTATACAAAGAAGGATGATTTCGCACTTTAGATTCTTCTTGCTATAAATGGTATCAGGATATGCTGATTCTTGATAAAGTGATATCAAAGCATGCCCTGATTCCTATCATGCTTGATAGTTACTCTTTAAGTAGTACATGCATCATGCTAAATATATGACTTTTTCAGATAAAGAAATTATAAAAAGGTTATTTTTAAGTTGATTCATTTGATGTAAAAACCAAAACAAGAACATTATTTCATTCATTGGGATAAATTAACAAATTCTTAGAAAAGCAAATATATTTGTCAACCATAGTTTTTATAAATTGTTCAAAATTGTGCTGACTTTTATGAATTTCATTGTGACAATCATATCAACAAGGAAAGGTAAGCATTAATGAATAGCTTTGATAAATATAGAGAATCAAAAAGTTCGCTTGCAGTAAAGAAATTGATGTTTTCAATAATATTCTATTCGAATTGAGAATAACACAATTCGTTCAAATAGACTGATTAATTGTTAATGTTATTGCATCAGGTAAATCTCAATGAATTCTATGTCTGTTATTTCCAGCTCTTCTTGCAGGTACTTTGGTAACAAAATGAGTAACAATTCCTATAGGGCAAAAGAGAAGGCAAAGAGAAACTGAATGTTGAGTCTCGATTTGGTTTTGTAGCCCATCAAGAAAAACTTATCTAGATTTAGCGACGAAACAAGATGGATTAAGTAACAAATTCATCTATGGATTTCATCTATTTAAAAATTCAATTAAGTAAAAATAAAAAATTAAAGATTTGATTAATTGTAATAAAATATTAATGACTTAAATTATTATTAAATTATAATTCAAAGGCCCCTTTTACCATTTAACTTTTTTTTTTTGGACTTTTTTTTTATCAAAACTTCTTCCAACACCTTTACTCTCATTCTCACCTTGGTGGCGGGTGAAAAAAATGGTACTACTAAATAGACTAGCCATTAGTTAAAATTTTTAAATGGGATAATACTCTAAATAACCTTTAAACTATTATATTTTATAATGTGATACCTAAGTTAAAAAAAAATTTAATTTGGTACCTAGATTTTATGTTTTTGTAATAATGTAATGCACAATTCAACTCCATTAAAAAATTTGTTGACATGGCATCTCACCCAATTAAAATATGACAAATAGACAAAAAGTTGCATGTCACTTTTACTTTCTTGGACATATGTCTAACCACGTATCTTCCTTTTTATTGTTTGTTAAATAAATTTCAAACAAAAAATTTTCAAGGGAAATCAGAGGTAATAGACTTTAAGATTTTGAAATTTCAGATTTAGAGATTTTAGATTTTATTTCATTTTGCTATATATTTATTTTTCATTTAATCATCAATAAAAAAAATGTAATTCAACACGTCAATACAAGTGAAAAATGACATGGCATTTTCTTGTTCATATTTTAATCTGGCAAGATGCCACGTAAGCAATTTTTTAAAGGTGTTGGGTTATGGGTTCTACTATTACATAGAAATAAAGTTTAACTATTAATAGTCTTCCACTTCATGATCTAGTGGCCTCAGAAGCATTTAGGAAGATATAAAAGCTCAGATTAGAACCGAGCCTCCCCCACCTCTTGTAATAAGGCTTTGGCCCCTGAAACAAAAAAAAAGTTTAACTATTAATTTAAAAAAAATTAATTTAAATATTATATTAAAAAAATATAATAATTTAAGGGCTATTTACGATAATATCCCAATTTGAATGAATAAATTTGTGTGGTTTAGTAGGCTTTTTCGTTGTTCTATATTTGTGTCTTGTCCTCTCCGACTATCTAATCTAATCTGTCTGGTTTCTTGGTCAGTTTACGTGATTCATTTTGCTTTTGCTTTTGGTTACTGTCTCTTTTCTTGCTTCTCTCCTTTTTCTCTCGCAATCTGTTTCTTGTAAGAAACTGATATTTTTTTACTCTTTCTTTTTCTGTTTACTGACTTTTGATCGTTGTTTTCCAACTTCTATGGCTTCTTCTTCTTCTTCTTCTTCTTTTTAATGTTTCAATTCTCTGGTTCTTCATTTCCAGCAACCAATTCTGTTTTTCATTGTTTTGCAGCAATCAATTGTTTCTCTGATCGTAATCATTGCTTTTTTTATTCATCTCATTTTTTTTGAATTACTAATTATTCATCTCAATGCTTAGTTTTTGTTCACGCATCTGCAAGAATTAAACTTTTCTTTTCCCTTGTTTTTTCTTTTTTGTTTCTTTCTTTTTACGGTTGATTTGGGTGGAGATCCTTTAGGCTTATTTGAGTCTATATTTTTTGGTTTCCCAGAAAAGGAACAAACTTTGGATTAGTATCAAGCTATGGCTTATTCATGTGCTATATAGTTGTTTGTAGGATTGCTGCAACCAACCATTTTTGCTGAATTCTCTGTGTTTTCCCTTCATGTACTGCCACGCCACTTTTACTGTTTCATTTGTTTTCAATTCTTGGAACTAAAACCATTTGCTTAAGTCAATTTCCTATTTTCTTTCTGGCATTAGAAATGTATATAAACTGAAATTGCTTATTTATAAATAGTACTAATAATTTATTTTCTCTATTGAGCAGGTCAATACTCAATTGCCAAATGGTAACTCCGGTTCTAAAGAAAGTGGGAAAATATAGTGGCAATGGTGTGAATAGGCTGTTTGGCGACATGGCTAGTTTTCTGAGGAGATGCTTATTTAGAGTTCTATCTATGGGTCCCATCCCCACTCACTTTGCTTTTATAATGGATGGAAACCGAAGGTATGCAAAGAAGCTGAATCTGGAAGAAGGGGATGGCCATAAGGCTGGCTATCTCGCTCTAATGTCTGTGCTACTTTACTGCTATGAATTAGGAATCAAGTATGTTACCGTCTATGCCTTCAGCATTGAAAATTTTAAGAGGCGGCCTGATGAGGTTCAAAGCTTAATGGATCTAATGCTAGAGAAGATTGAGGCTTTGCTTATGGAAGAAAGCATTGTGAATCAGTATGGTATCAGGGTGTATTTTATAGGTAATCTGAAACTCTTGAGTGAGCCTGTCAGGGCTGCGGCAGAAAAGGTGATGAGTGTCACTGCTAACAACAATAAGGCTGTGCTTTTAGTCTGTGTGGCCTATACTTCGTCCGATGAAATTGTGCATGCTGTCGAGGAATCCTGTAAAGATAAAAGGAGCGAAATTCGACTGTGGAATTCAAGTGAAACTAACAATGGTGAGATAGAAGACGTAAAAGAGGTTAAGAAGACTAATTGTATGATCGTGCATGATATTCAAAATTTGTGCGATGATAGATCAGCTGAGTCTCAAGGATTAAAGTCCAGTAGAGGTTGCAATGGGGTGATCGGAGGATTTCAGAGGGAAAACGGTTTTGATTCTAGGTGGGATGAAGTTCTAACCTCCAAGGCAAGTAGAACTGGCGAATTTTCTGGTATGGAGGTTGAAGGTTGTGAGAATTTGAGAGAGAAGCATCCTGTAATAAAGCTGGTAGATGTTGAGAAGCACATGTATATGGCAGTAGCACCTGATCCTGACATACTAATTCGAAGCTCTGGTGAGACCCGCCTAAGCAATTTTCTACTGTGGCAAACCAGTTACTGCCCATTGTATTATCCTGCTGCATTGTGGCCAGAGATTGGTTTGTGGCAGTTGACGTGGGCGATATTAAACTTCCAACGAACCCACTCTTATTTGGAGAAAAAGAAGCAGTTAAAGCATTTATGATACTAAAGAAAATAGTCTTTTCTAGTGCACTGCTCCTTCGACCATGAGGGCACTTCATGTTCTGTAGTTACTTTGGCCTTCTTATCTCATCATTTGTATTCTCATGCCTTGGCATTCAAATTTTGGATGGAATTTCTCAATATAGGATCTACTTGAGCACACGATATTATGATGTTATTAAGTATTATGAATTTGTGCATTTCATTAAGAATGCCAATTATCTCTTCGATAAAGAAAACCGATTTTGCCAATGGCCAAGCTCTTCGGCCGATTTTGTCCTTGACAAGGCAGTTCTCCTTCACTTATATCATTTACAGAAACTTTTGATTTCAGACTGCCCATTTTTGTTTTATTTGTTGGCTTGATCGTTTCCTTAGACTAATAAAATCTGTGGGTTTGAAAATGAAAATAGATAAAACAATTGAAAGAGATATTGGGTCGCTTTGACTGTGCCTATGTGCCTTTTATATCATGAGCCAATCAATACTCACATTTATGGGCTATGGCTTGACAATAAAGCTTCACCTAAACTTCTCCTTTTCAAACACGGTGGCTGTCTGCGTGACCTGAAATAGAAAGTTAGACACGTCTCAACTCTTGGTCAACCTACCTGCGTCCTTTGCCAGTTGTGACTAAAACTTTTTGGCTAATGCTAAGTGGAAATCCATGCATGGCAGCAATCTTCATCTTAATTGACGCAGTCAGAGTGTAAAGAGAAGACCCGAGTTTGTGCGTTCTCTGAAATAGTATTTGTTGTTTTTGAAGCATTTTCACATGTTCCCTGGCTTTTTACTCTGCACAACTCTATGTTCTTGCTCTTGTATTCTTTGCGCTCCCATTGAAGGCCATCTCCACTGACCCCCAACATCATCATGGAATCAAGTCCCTTCACTTCGCACTCTTTCACCATGAGACCATAAATAAAACCGGGTAGACAATTGTAAATGGTGTGTCACCACTCCTTTCGGTACCTTATTTGTTTTCCACGATCCCACGACTGTTACAGCCAGCCAATCTTCGAAAGTCGTAGGCATAGCAGAAGGAACTTCCGTCACCTCTGGCTTTGATGGGCTTCGGAGCATTTCAGTTGCTAAGATCACTCTATGTTTGAAGATTGCTTTGAAATAATTTCAATTAAACATAAGTTGTCAACGGAAGCAAGGTAAAGTAAAGGAGATTCTAGTTGCAACCACTGAACAAGGCACAAGATGAAATAGCATTTATAAAAGAACAAAGGGAAAAAAATACTAGCAGTAGTTTATGTTGAAGAGAAAAATAGATGAATAGCAATAAATGATCTACAAAACTTGTTTCAGCAAGATGAAAACTGTTTTAAGATTGTATTTGCCATAGCCTTCAGAATGCTATATCAACACCGAGGTTTATGCAAACGAGGCCTGTTGCAGAAAATCCTGCCGTTAGCCCTCACGACAGCTGCAATTCCAACGCTTATGCTTGCCCATAAAAGTGAAAAAAATAAGTGTCGAAGATCGTATCGAGCTGCAGAGAATGAAGACAAAGCTTATCTCAAGGACTGTGTTATGCTAATGAAGCTATACCTCACCATAAGATCAGGCAGAAGTCAACTCACCTTGCCTCAGTGACATGGTTGCGAAAAACAACCCTATGGAGACCAAACATAAAGCTAGTGGAAAGGACTGCAGACAGAGGAAATATGAACTTAAGGTTTTAAACACGTAATTGAAGACAGATAACGAATCATGTGCAATAAAATCACAAACAAACATTTTTTGCATCTGTGTTCATCGGTACCCGCAACCAAAATTAAAAAGCAATAGCACACGACAACGGAGAAGGTAAGAGTAATATATTCACTTTGTGACAGTAATAACAATACAGTATACCTATGAGACACTAAGTATAGGCGGAACAAAAGCGAAAAAGCCCTACTTTTCTACTGGGATTGTAAAGATTAACTGAAATATTCTTGGAAAAATACTTTCAACTATGGTATCATTGTGAATCATCAGGCCATATGATTTAAATTATGAGTTTTAACTTTGCCTAGTAAAGCCATAATATCAACAAACTTAATGTAGCTGCATGACAATTTTTCAGTAAAATCTACATTTATCAAGTTTCAACAGAAGGTTTTGCAGAGTGTACAAATGAAATGCTATTTATCTCTGCAAGTTTCAGACCTGCAGAAACCTGCAGCAAAAGTGCTGATTAATCATGCCGGACAAGGATAAACCAATGAATAATAAACTGTTATTTTCTGTTGAGGAACCTAGCCTGACATAAAAGCTTCTTGTATATATAATCCACAAAAACAAGTTAGCAATTGCTTCAAAATTAAGAAATAGCATACAGTATAGAGCTTCAGCAACATCATGATGAAGCAATGAAATCTTGAAAGTCAAATGTTATTCAATTATACTTACAGCTATAGCCTCAAGGCCTCCTGTTTGAGATGGAGGCGTCATATCCCGGCTGAAAGAGACAATATAATGTCCTTGCAGGAGATCAATCGCATCCTTCATGCATGTGGCCAATAAATTAGAGGAAGTCAGTATCTATACTGAAAACTATCATAGAAGAGAAGGTCATCTCTTCACAAAAGGTGTAAAATAACCAAGATATTGTAGAAAAAAAGGGCAGGACATCAAGTGTAAAAGACCTGCTGCATAGTTTACCAGTTAATAGTGAAACCTATGTTAATGGTAAGAATGCTCAAACAAAAGTTTGATGTGAAAGATTATTACAGACTGATGGGCACTTATGCATATAAAAGATTTTCCAGTACCAGAATTAGGGTATGAAAAGAACTAAAACATTGGGTTTACCTACCCTCATCCCACCCCAAACATTCATGTAGCCATAAAATGGTGATGGTAAACGCAAAAGTTTGAAATATTAACCTATTTTCCAATTATAGCAAGTATTAATTAAAGAAACAAAGCATTTGTACCTGTTTCGTTCCATCAGAAAAGTTATTCAAATAATAGCGGACAAGGGCATTGTATCCATCTTTAAGGATCCCTTGAACTGTTCGCTGACCAAGCCTACAACCCAAAAAGAACAAATTCATAGTGGAGCACAACATTAGTTTCCATTCTAATTTAATACTAATGAAAATATTCTTATGCAATCATATGGATATAGCAATCAACATTTTAGCAGACAAAATTGATTACACTACTATTTGTACCAAGATGCATCAAAATAGCTTAAGAATATTACATATGCTAGATATACAAATTGACACTCAATTTGTAAAATAGAGATACAGACATACCTGACAAAATCTCCTTTTAGTGCAGCAGTGCCAGAATATTGTATGCTTATGTCATCCCCATGATTAGCCCACACTGAAGATGTGCAGACATTTAAAAGAATTTTAATTCACATGCTAGGTTATCAAATTGATATACAATAGAGTGAGCACCAATAAATTAAGAATGAACATCTTCGGAAAGCAAATTATTAGAATAAGAAAGTGAGAATACTCACATATTTTAAAGCTTTCATCAAGATTTGGATGTGAGCTAATGGTTTCTTCAGCAGCAAAAACACCAATCCTCCTAAGCTGAAGTTCCAACATTTTCCTACCTATCATGCTCTGCGGACAAAAGTTAGCATTGTTACTAAGTGAAGAAAACTAACAATATGGCAAATAATAATTACAGGAAACCACATGCAAGTGTACAACACCTCTTCTTGAGAAAGAAGTATGCATCTGTGTCTCTGAGAGAGAGAAAGGGAGAGATCTACATTGCAAACTTAAACAACAGAAGCAACATCGATGCTAAAAGATAGTCCCTAATGCATGAAATTCAAAACTTAAAGAGTCATTGATTTAGTTACGGGAAGCATTTTCAAAGGCCAAAAACAGCCATCTACTTATAATAGTAGTTGGAATTAATTCTAGTACTTAATAAACCTCTTGTGAAATATCTTGTATTACTCTTAGGAGAAACAACCATACAAAAGGAACAGCATTCAGTGATCGAAGGTAATCTGTTGAGGTTAGAACGCGGGAGTTGAAATTGTCATGGTAGGTAAGCACAATTTTGCTACCCAAAAAGAAAATGTCTGCTACATACATGTTGTGCCACTACAGACAAAGCCAAGATGAGAAGAATGTCTCCAATTCAGGTTGACTTACCTGTGTAACATTAGTGCGGTCTAAGCAATCAATACAATTGGTCCTTACAACTCCAAGTTGCTCCTTCATTTTCTCACCCTTTTCATTCAGCAAGAGGTACCTATCAGTTTCAGACAAAGAGAACCCAACATTAATGGCTATATTTCATTGCTATAAACTTCTACTAACGGAACAGTTCTTTAAAACCTGTCCCTAGCAAAAGCAATGTAAGCAAAAGTACTCTAGGAACAATTATCAAATCGTTCATCACAGAAAAGTGCAAATATCAATGCATACCCATTTTTCTCAAGAAAATCTGCAATTTGATCATAGAGAAAGGAAAGGCGCTCAAAATGAACATGTCCACAGATCTGATGGAAATCAAAGTGCAGATACCTGCCAGATTAAGGGATCTTTAAATAAACATAACCACATCCAAAGTCAAAACAAAGAAACAAGAAAGATTTAGATAACCAAAAACTGTACCTTCGATCGTCACTAACTATGGGCTGCATTGCACTTGCAAACTTTTCACTTAAGCGTCCCTCACCTCCATGCTGGTAAGAGATAAAGTCGCACGTGGTCAAACATTTGAAATAAAGAATGAATGCTTGTTCAGATCCAGAAATACAGAACCCTATATTCATCCACATTCCATTCCATGCAAATGTAAACAAATCATTTGCATGGACAAAGTATGATTTCAAAAGGTGTTCTCAATGCATATCATAAGAGACTTCAGTAATGTTTACTGTCATAAAGTATAATTGCATACTGCACACCAATAATAAACCAATGCTCACCTTGTTGACAAGATCAACAGCTAGAATAGATCCGTACTTTTTTCTTAGATCCAGAAAATGCCGCTCAGCCACTCGTGGCTGCATAATATGTTGTATACCGGCAAAGTCAGTTATGGTAGAATGAATTCAAGCGCACAATGAAATAATGACAATAAATGAACACACTTACAGCCTCTTCAGGTTTTACAATCTCAAACTTAGGTTTATAAGTCAAATCAACAATTTGCTCCCAAAGAAACGGCATTGACCCCCGAATCTGCAAGAGGTAAAGTAAGGAAAAGGATTTATAACAATCTGACCATTAACTCGGAAAATGACAAATATGGCCCTCATAACATGGATGCTGAATATTTCCATACATCCTTGTTTAAGCCTTCCAAGGATTTATAAATGCAGTCTCTTAGGTTAGTTGACTTTGTTAAAGCACTTCATATACTGATCTTTTAAAGTCCCTGATGGAGTTGGTACCATAAATATTCCAGCATTGAGAGTTCATGTTTAATGTAACCTCCCCCATCAATCCCCCTTTACATGCAGTGTCAAATGTTCACTATTTCAGTAATCACAATATTCAAATCCCCCAGTGCCTTCCAAATATTGAAGGCTGCAAATAAGCAAGGAACACATCTGAACTTTTAATAGCAATCTTTTCCTTTAGCATTAAGGACCATATATTTGTACTTGGTACTTCTCTAAAAATGTATGACCAAAAAAGGAGACGAGAATTCATAATATATTGCATTTTATACATAAGACTAAAACAGTAATGACTGCTACCTGAACAAATGATGAAGTAAAACCATTCATATGCACAATTTGCTCTGTTTCCACAAAATTTGCAACATACCCATCGGGATCAGCTCCTCTTCTCCACATGCGGGTTCCTTTCAAAGGATGCAAATTGTAATCAATGTGAATATACTATCTATATAAGGCCCTAAAAGTTTTGAACTATGAAGATTTGCTTGCTTTTGAAAATTATTTATCTGTCTATTTAGTAAATCCATTTCCTTTTTCCCCCCAAGCTCAAAATGTGTGGGAGAATCCTGCCAGGTAATGTTTCATACAAATGATGAAATTAACCAATAAAAGCATGATACAGAACTTGCAAATATATGTTGTCGTAATAGAAAGGAGAATCTGTAATATTACTAGATTTTCATTGCTTATACATCATTCAAAAATTGAAACCCTTCCCTCCGACCTAAAAGGAAATTTAAAAAAAATAGCAGGCAACCTTATTTCTTAAGAAAGAATAGTTAACATCTAAATAGAACAAGTAAAACAAACATTGAAGAGGCATTTCTAGCTTTGGGTACCATTTCTCCGTGTACATCTCCTAGCAATCAGAGTAACATCAATAATTTCTTTTCCAATGGCTGCTTGGAAGTTATGAAAACCTTATTAGCAGTTAAGGAGATGGTTCAAATAGAAAGGCAGAGAAGCCAACAGAAATAATTAATTAGTTAAAAAATGGGAAAAGAACTTCTCATGAGACCAAATGCTGAAACTGATTGTTTCATAAAGGATACTCCCTTGGACAACTGGAAGCAAATATGGATCAAGCTGCAACAAAAGGACCAAAAAAAGAAAAAAAAAAGTAGTTAGCAAGTATAAATTTAAAAGGTGGAATAGTGTTGCATGAAACTAGAAAGATACTAAGGAAAAAGACTCACCTTGTTGTCTATAAGTACTTCCAACATATAATTGTTCCAAAGAAATCTGGGTTCTGCCTGTGGCAAACATTTGGTGACATAAGGAAAAGCCTCTTTACTTAGTAACTTAGTGGCAAACAGAAATTTTGATGAATCTTGAACGCTGCACTTATAAAGACTACCTTAAAGACAAGGCTGTTTGAAGCCAGGGGCAGGTCATCTAATAATCTCATAACATAGAAAAACAAGGGAGCAATATATGTATTAATTACTTAAAAATGAATAATTTACCTGTCTCCAAAGGGGAAGTAATTTAGATTCATCTCCCAGTTCATACAATCGCTGAGCACTGGTGTAACAAATCGTGAAAGGATTACGTTCACCATAAAGATAATATTTAAAGAAAATATAGAAAAAGACTGGAAAACTGAAAAAAATTATATAATTGCTAATAATTCCAAAAGAACCTATGCCTATTGCATAGATATTGGAAGTTTGCAAGCTGTTTGATCATATGCTATTGTCCTTCATTAACAAATTAGAATCGTGATGATTAGTTTTAACATGTTGAAAAGGCCAGCATCCTGTTTTGCCTCACCACACATTATGTTGCTTATGAATGTGCTTCCTACATGTCTAAAATCTGCAGAAGAAAGGTATATTCAACCATTTTAAGGTCAACTCATTTGTTAGTGTGTCTATAGGGAATGGCAATTTACCCCTCCTAGGATCACCAATATAGACTTATAGTTTGCAATTTGCATATAAATATAAAAGGCTGATTTGGTAGTGTGGCGACTTTAAGTAAACTGCTTAGGATGGAAGTTTGTGGCAAGAATGCGTCACTCAAAAAGAGGGTGTTGTGTACCTAAAATCCTTTATTGGTTGACATATGCCTGTTTTTAGAAAGAAAATTGTTATTAGTATGCATATATACAAGGCCTAACTTGAGAGTGCAGTTCACCTCAGTGTTAAATTGGTGTCATAAGAGAAATAGAGACCAGAAGTCCTCTCTGCAATTTTTAGCAGCCCAGAAAATTCATTCTCCAACTTTTTCTGCCAAAGGTGGCATAAAAAATTCTAGTGTTAACCAATCTATAAACATGTTTGCTAGAAGAAAAAGTGAAGAAACAGCCAATGTACCTGTTCTGCGGTAGAAGTTTTAACAGAATGATCACAGGGGAGAACCTTCAAGGATATGACTTTGAAGATAGGATGTCCCAAATAAGATCCAACACATTCACGCTCCCTTATAACAATTAGATATGACCCTAAACACATGAAAATTTAACACATCAAAATGACTGGAGAAACCACAAGGCCAATTATGTAAAGATAATCAATATATATATATATATATATATATATATATATATATATATATAAAAGAAAGCCAATTTTCATCTCTTTTGATCTTGAAGATCCGTATGCCTTATTTATCTAACCAGGCACTACGGTTTCACTGTTCAATTAGGTTCCATGTTAAAGTTTTTCATTTTATGAAGCTGCCTTCAAGAAGTACCACGATGAACGGAAGATACAACTATCTGTCTGAATTAACCAAATAAATAGAGGATAATAAAAAAATCAGAAATTTGATGAAAACAATCATACCTGCAACAAGCTTTAGCATTCCAACTACTCCAAAAATCGTCTGAATCTTAGGAACACGGACAGAGCTGCATTCTGGAACGTTATCTAGAGAACAGACATATACGTTAAGTAAATCAGCCAGCACTTTACCAACCAAACACCAACATAGAATAAAGAGGCATAGCAAATGAGAAACAAGATAAAGCAAACCCACCAATGAGCTTCATTGAGGCATCAACACGACTAATTGACAAAGAGGATGCAGAAGAGCCATCTGTGGGCTCGATCACATACTCATCAGGGAATTCCCATAACCGCATTCTGGTATATAACTTTTGGCATGACTCTGCCCTCTCCATCATTATTGGAATTCTATTTCACTACAAAATCATAACAAAAAATAGAGAAATTTTTTTTAAAAAAATTTACTCCATAAATCAATCAAACACACACACACACACACACACACAAAAGGATAAAACCTTTGACTCAATTACGTATCTATGTAGGTGGAGTTGGATCAAGCTGAAGGGAAAGAAGGAACATTCATAATTGTGGGTTTGCAGGGAGCCAAAGAGATGGGAAAAAAGAAAAGGGTACCTGTTAAAAGATGAATAAAGGCAAAACTTTTTATGTCAAGAGTGAGATCTAAAAGGGAAGAGACCCTTTTTCAAGTGCAGCGTGTCTTGTAAAGAGTAAGAAGCGATAACGAGAGGCCAGCGCGAAAACCTGAGTGATCAACGTTGTTGAATGAATGCTTTGCTCGTGGGCTTCTTGTTCTGTTCTGCGTAGGATTTTGGGCGGAATTTTCCTTTTTTAGCAGTTTTTGGCTAATAGTAAAAGATAGCCGGACGGCTTTGCCCAACCCTCGGGTTTATATCAACTGTTGTGGTGATGTGGAATTCATTCATTGCATCCCATTCCTACCCACCAATGGCATCATTGACAAGGTCAAATCCTAACATCTTCTAAAGTTCTATTCTATTCTATTCTCCCATTCCAATTCCATCATCAAATCCAATTTTGGGTTTACTGTAAACAAGTGTTAAATGCTCCATCTTTTTTCCCATTTTAATTGCATTTTTGTTGATTTTTTTATTCTAAATGAGTGAAAATTTAACGTTTTTTAAGCAACATCTTATATGCTTAATACTACTACATTTCAAAGTTTGAAACTTATCAATTGTGCTATGATTTGATGTCTTCTTCAAGTTTCGCTTGTCCTGGTTGTCCAGAAACAGTTGACAATCCTGTCAAGATTAAGCAAACTGTTTCGATTGCTAAGGTTATAATCGATTAAGTGTAAATTGCTATAATATTAAATTTAAATTTAATGTAAAATTTAAAATTTAATTCGAATTTAATCAAAAAAATTTTTAATTTAAATTTGATTTGAGATAAAAATTAAATTATTTAAATTTATTTAACTAAATTCGATTAATATATAAAAATAAATTTGATTTTAATATTTAATAAAATTTTAATTATTTATACTCGAATTTAAGATATTTTATTAATTAAAATATATTAAAATATAAAATTTTGATTAAGTTTATAAATTATTCGAATTTGATATAAAAATATTTAAATTCTAACTTGATTGATAAATTAAATTATTTAAATTTAAACATAATTTTATAAGATTTAAACTAAATTTAAATTTTATTTTAATTAATTTTAAATAATTTATAAATACTAATATATCGTTAACATCATCCATCATTTTCTAAACTAAAACACTTCGGCAACCGGTAGAACTATTAAAAATATAATCACATTGGCTGTAGCTGTAGAGGGAAAGTATTATGCACGAGAGCCTTGGCCCACCGAAAGCAAAGCTCCAGCCTTCAGTGCAGACAGATAATATTCAAAGGTACTCGAGGGTAAATCTGATAATTTGTGTGTTTATATAATATAAAAAATAAAAATTTATGTATTTATATTATATTTAATATAAAAATTATATCATAATTTATATTAATATAAAAATATAAAATATATTTTTATTTATGTTAAATTCATATATGTATTTTACTAAAACTTAAACCTATTTCATTTTATTTTTTATTATTTTTATGTCATATTATTATATCATATTTTGAATTATTTGATTTAATTATTGTAAAAATTTTTTATTTTACCATATGTATTCATCATTTTTTGTTGTAAAATTTATCAAATTAAAAAAAAAAACAAAAATGAAACGTAATATGTTAATTGACTCATTTTTTTCATAAAATTAATCTAAAAATTTATGAAAAAAAAAAAAGTGTAAAAAGTGAGAAAAAGGTAAAGGAAAAAAATTTAAAAAGAAACTAAAAAATTTTAAAAAAGAGATAAAAAAATAGAGGGTGTCTATTGACATCTAATATTGAACTTAAAATAAAAAAAAATCTTAAATTAAAGTACAAAGAATTATTTTATTAACATAATTCATGTATAAAATTAAATAAATAATAAAAAACTATATTTTTATATACATTTCAAAATGAGTCCGAATAAAGTATCATAACACACTTACGAATAAATCTCATTTTTTTTTGTTTTAAAAAGCTCAATTCATCTCAATTAAATTTTGATTTTAAAAATTATTTTTTTATCGGATTGAGATTGATAGAAATTCGTGAGATACGAATTATTTTGACTTATCTATTAATTTGTATCTTGGATTGTAAAATTTATCTTATTAAAAAATACAAAAAAAAGAAAGGTAAAAAACCTCAAATTGGGTTCCATAAGGACAGATTTTTTTTTTCTTACAAAATTACTTTTTATTAAAATGTTAAAAAATAGATAAAGAAAAAATTTAAAAATGAAAGTACAAAAATTTAAAAAAAAAAAAAGTTCATTTGGGTATTACATAGACATTCCAATTGAATAAGAATCCATCGATAACAAATTATTTTACCATTTATATAAATCAGATTCTTTTGTTGCAAAATTTGTGATAAAAAATCAAAAGAAAAAAAGCAAATTGGAGTGTTACATGAGTACCTATATTATGTTTATCACAAAATTTACCTAAAAAAAAAATAAAAAATCTATAAAAAGTTAAAAAAGAAAAAAAAGATGACATGTTGAGACTTTGAATGAATATAAAAAAAATTAAAATGAATTAAATTTATATAATAGATGAACCCATATTAAAGAAATTTCAATATTATTTTTTAAAAAATATTAAATAATTTTTAAAAAATTAAAAAAAATAAAAAGTTGATAGCAAAAAAATAAAAAGCAAAAAAAAGAAGTCAAATGACTTAACACGTGCATACTCTTAATATCAAGTAGGACTAAAACTAAAATTGAAAAAAATATTAATTAAATATATAAAAAAATGAAAAAGAAAAAATTAAACATGTGACATACTATTATTATCAAGTGAATCTCAAAAAAAAAAATCTAAAAAATTTTTATTAAATATTTTTAACAAAAAAAAATTAAAAAAATAAAAAAGAAAAAGAAAAGGCAAAAAAATTATGATATAGGTCCTACTCATGAAAAACAAAATCTTTAAAATATATATTTTAAATTTTAAAAATATTATTAATTTTTTTAAAAAAATGAAAAAGTTAAAAAAAGTAAAAAGAAAGAAAAAAAAGTTTGATATAAGTGGGTCCTATATATAAAATAAAATTTTTAAAAATATATATTTTATAATCTTAGAATATATTTATTAAAAAGGAAAAAGTTAAGAAAAGGAAAAGGAAAAGAAAAATAGAAAATTTTGTATAATTGGATTCCACGTATAAAAAAAATCTTTTAAAAATATATATTTTTTATAATTTAAAAAAATCTAAAGAAAATCTATTAATTTTTTTTTAAAAAAATGCAAGAGTTAAAATGGGTAAAAAAAAAAGCAAAATAATTTTGGTATAAGTGGGTCACACACACAAAAAATAAAATCTTTAAAAATATATTCTTTAATATTTAAAAAATATTAATAAATATTTTTTACACAAAGAAAAAGTTAAAAAAAGGTAAAAAATAAAAAATAAAATTTATTATAAGTGGGTCCCACACATAAAAAAGAATCTTTAAAATTTGTATTTTTTATAATTTTAAAAATATATACTAATTTTTTTAAATGGAAAAAGTAAAAAAAGCAAAAAAAAAAAAAAGTTAGAAGGAAGTGGGTCGCACACATAAAAAATTAAAATCTTTAAAAACATTTTCGTAATTAAAAAAAAAAAAGGAAAAATAGGAAACAACACGTGACCGCTGAAGAGTTAGTCCTATTGATCATACATTAGTGAAATTAAAACGAAAGCAAATTTTATTTAATGGATGAATTTATTAAAAAATAGTAAAGTGGATCTCACTTAAAATCTTGAAAAAAATACTTATAAAATTTTTAAAAATTTACAAAAAATGCTAAAAAAAAAAAGCAGGGATATGTGACACATTTTGTATCATGTAATTTTAATTATCATGATAATAAGATCACCAAAATTATTTGATCATCAATGATTTTAAGTTAACATGTTGGTGCAATACTATAAGTCATTATTAATCTTAAATCACTGTATTTGATATTATATGAAAAAAATAAAGCATGAAGTACAAATTATCTTAAATAACTTTGCAAAAAAGAAAGGTAAAAATTAAATATCTATTAAATCAATAATTTATAAAATAGTTAAATGTTATTTTATAGAATATTAAAAAATATAAAACAAATTTGATTAAAATAATTTTTAAAAAATTATTAAATAAAATAATTTTATTTTTTAACCAATAAGCATCTATTCAATTGTAACAAAAAAATTTTCTTTAAATAAGTGATTAGAAAAAAACTGGTTTTCAAAAATTTTTACTGATCAACTTCTTGAGGTAATGTTATTAAATTTTTTGTTAGAATAAATTAGCCAAAAAAAATTTTGAAAATTATTTTCCCATAATAATAAAACTTTATCATGCTTTAGAATCGAAATTTGACTATTCCTCAAAGTAGTAATCTTATTATCCCAATGATTTAAGATAATTGTATCATAAATTTTCTAAATTATTACAAAATAAAATAATGTAATTATTGTGTGTTGATTGCTGTGACTTTTAAGACTAATGACTCCTTGCTTAATACTATTAGGAAGAGGAGCTCTTCACCGTACATTAGGAAGTTTCTTCATTTTAAACAAGAAATGATATTATAACATAAAAATGATATGAACAAAATTATGAAAATGACATAATTTTTTTTAATTTTCACAAAAATTGTATATAAATTTAATAAAAATCATAAATATTTTTTATTTGATATATTAATATAAATTGTGATATATGATAATTTTTATATTTATATATATTCATGATAATTTTCGTGTTTAAATATATTTAATATGCGATAGACACAACACTTATACATAAATTATTAAATCTATTGGTAATACATAAAAATTAGAAAGCGAATTGACGTTAAAGCCACCAAGTAGATGATGTGAATCCTCCAAAACTTACATATACATAATACAACAAATTATAGTAATTCATCTTATTACAGACGTTCCTAGACATAGAATTATTGCTATCTTATGTTTTTATTTCAGTGTGGAACACAAGTATTCAGGAGATACATATAATCCACTGTTTAACTAGTTCACTACTTGCAAATGCTTGTGACTTCTCTCAGCACAAGGAATTCCCTGGCCCCATCTGAAAATTAATCTTGGGACTCCATCAATAGCTTGGTCTGACACTGAGGCGAGAAGCAAGCTTCTGACCCAAAGATTTGTCAGCCTGTAGCCACACAAGACGATTACCTTATTATTAAGCAGTACTTTATCATGCCACCTATTAAGAACTGCAAGCTTATCAGACAACGTAGAGGTGACAAAGAAACAGTAAAATCTTCATCTATCTTCCTTGAGTGTTCATGGTTAAATTAATATCCATAAGTGCGAAAGATAATTAGCATGTGGGGTGTTTGTAGAATGAAAGATCAAAGGATGAGAATCCCACCTGCGACCAGTATGAGATCCAAATGCTGCGGATCTCATATGTGACTCTTGGATCAGACAAGGCCTCAATCCAGCGTTTAATAAAGCGTTCTTGCCTGAGATAGTCAACCAAAAAATGGAATTCTGTAAATAAATGTATAAGGAAATGAAGCAATATCTCATTTTTTATCCAAATAATCCCTAAAAAATTAAAAAAGAAGAAAAAAAAAACCTGTCAGGTGTAAAGGATCGGTATCTTTCCCCAGGCTGCTTAAAGTTGTTCTCCTTCTCAATGATGCACTGTGACAATAGTTAAGAAGCCATAGCTGATTATTATCTAGTCTAAGGTCTTTGTCAGCACAAACAGAAAACAGTCTCAATGACCCACATTGACATAAACCCAATAGATCAACAATTTACTGGTCAATCCAAACAACTTAAATAGTTTGGCTCAAAATCAAGCGTTTCAGACAATGGGACCATATTTGGAAGTAGAAATCAACATATAGTTTGGCACTTTATCAGGTTCAACTTCCTCTTCCAAAGTCCAATCAAGCTTTAAAAAATTAAAAGTGGAAATAAAATGCTAGGGAAAAACAAACCTTCTCTCTCTTGCCGTTGCAAATGGCAGTAGGAATAGGGTACTTCTCAGCATGGCGCACAGGATCAAACCTCGAAGGGAAGTAGTTCACCTAAAAAAAAATTCATCAGAGACAATAATGCAACAGTAAAATGATTGTCCATCACGAATTCACGCTATAATATAAGAAGAGGGACCAGATCACTGAAGGAAAAACTGCACAGAAACACGCCGAGGTGCTTACTAATGATGACTTAAGATGTCATATTGTCTATCTATGCTAGGAGCAAGAGAGCATGCATGTATATCTGTGCACGAGAGAGAGAGAGAGACAGAGACAGAGAGAGAGAGACAGAGACAGAATACCTCCTCGTCTCTATGCATGAAATTCATAAAACCTTCATGGTGATTATTGTGATGAGTACATTTTGGAGCATTCGCTGGAAGCTGCAGATAATTCGGTCCAAGGCGGTGCCTCTGAGTGTCGGAATACGAGAAGATTCTAGTTTGGAGCAACTTATCATCTGAATAATATATACCCGGGACAATGATAGAAGGACAGAAGGCTAACTGCTCGTTCTCAGCAAAGAAGTTATCAATGTTTTTGTTTAACACCATTCGACCCACTGGGTGCAATGGGAAGGTGTCCTCTGGCCAGGTCTTGGTTACATCAAGTGGGTCAAAATCAAACCTGTCCTCGTGAACAGGATCCATTATCTGAATGAAGAGCTTCCACTCAGGGTAGTTTCCCGCTGCAATCGAGTTATAGAGATCTTGTGTGGCATGACTGTGATTAGCTCCACCAACTCTTATGGCCTCATCCTCCAGCAGATTTTTTACACCACAAGTGGGTTTCCAGTGGAATTTCACATACTGTGCCTTCCCGGCCTTGTTGATTAGAGTAAAGGTATGAACACCAGAGCCATCCATGTGTCTATAATCCTGTGGAACACCTATATCATCAAAGAGGAAGGTGAACATGTGCAAGCTTTCTGGGTGGTGCGAGAAGAAGTCCAGAATCCTCCAATTTTCCTGAATGTGGGACTTTGGGTTCGGTTTTAGAGCATGGACCATATCAGGGAACTTCATTCCATCACGGACAAAAAACACAGGGAAATTGTTCCCCACTAGATCAAAATTACCCTGGTTTGAGCAAGTAATCAAAGAGAGCAGACAATTAAGTTAGGAATGGTTCTTTTGCAGCTTAGTGCTTTCTGATTTTATCACTTAGCTGCAAGTATAAAGAAATTATAGGGCCACTGTTTGACAGTGATCCTTCTGAAAAGGAAAAAGAAGAAAGAAACAAAATACAGAAAATAGAAGCAATAAACACGCAGCCACCTGAAAGTTAAGAAAATTTAGATAATCTACCAAAACTTGTTACCTCTCTGGTGTAAAATTTCACAGCAAAACCTCGAGGGTCTCTCAAAGTTTCAGGACTACCACGTTCATGGATAACAGTGGAAAATCTAACAATGACTGGGGTCTGGACTCCTGGGGCTCGAAGGAAATCAGCGCATGTGAGATGAGATATATCATGAGTGACCTCAAAGAACCCTTTTGCACTAGCTCCTCTAGCATGAACAACACGTTCTGGAATGCGTTCTCTATCAAAATTAGCAAGCTTTTCCACCAAATGATAATCTTCAAGGAGAATTGGACCTGTCAGAAAAAAAAATGTTCTTCAATCTCTGATTTTATTTTATGTATCTTTTGTTTTGCCCTTTGACTAAATCCTATCGAACCAGTTGAAGAGCTTTACCATTAATATGTATCAAAACAATTTCAGGTTTCAATGCACTAAATAAAAGCTCTTAGAATCAACTTGAACTTGGAGAAACAAATTCTTTACTTTCCATGCAAAAGTGTGATGCGTGATGCCCCTTGCGAAATAAAAAGGTCTGGTCATTGAAATTTTATAGATTATATTCAAGAAGCAATGGTGTCTTATAACAAACATGGTTGAAATCTATTGATGCTAATAGTCTGTTTATTCCAGTTCTAAGAAATTTTATTAGTTAAAGAATTATTTGATAATTAATTTTATTTAAGAATAAATATTCTTAATGATAAGGATTTTTAGTAAATAATCATTCTTGATAATAAAGTAATGGAGCTTTATAAATATGGAGTGAGCATTAATTTTTAGAATTATGAGAGAGAGGTATGTGATCTCCATATGGGAGATAGGTTTGTAGGGTTGTAAAAAATATTTATTCGGGAAAGACACTAGTTGCATTAGATAAAAGATATTCCATAAGTTATATACTATGAAGTATAAAAACTAGGACCGTTTAGATTAGTGATTATTTATTGTATTTTAACCTTTTTGTAATTTTTACTTTTTAATAAATTTTTTTTTTCATCCGTGGATGTAAATAATTAGGCTGAACCGTGTTAAATATTATATTTTGTGTTTGTGATTTATTTCGTATTAATCTCATTGTAGAATTTATTTCTACTTAAAAAATCCTAACAAGTGGTATTGAGTTAAGTTGTCAACATTTCCTTATGAATTGGGCGTCGAAGCTCTCCGTATAGCCCAATGTGTAAAGGAAGAGATTATTGAGGTTATCCTACATCGATTAAGAAAGGAAATTTGTTGTTGCAAATTATATTTGTGAGATCAAAGATATGCAAGAAAAGATGTGTTACAACAAGGTATTAGTTGCAGATAAAGTTAACAAGATCAAATTAATTAGGTTGCATAAAAGTATTGATCATCTTGTGTGAATTAGGTGGAGTCAGCATTGATTTGACCATGTATGTTAGGATTTCTAGAAGGACAATGTTTCGGTAAAATTTGTATTAAGTGGAGATTTGTTATATATTATCTCAAATTCTAAATGGGAATAAATTTGAATTCCAATTAAATTCTTTTAGTTAAAGAATTATTCGATAATTAAGTTTATTTAAGAATAAATATTTTTAATAATAAGAGTTCTTAATAAATAGGAATTTTTGGTGATAAGTAATGGAACTTTATAGATATAGAGTGAGTATTATCTTTGAGAATTATGAAAGAGTTATATAATCTTTATATGAGAGATAGGTTTGTAGGGATAGAAAAAAAGTTTGTTAGGGAAAAACATAAAATAAAGGATATTTTATAGATTATATACACTAGGAAGCATGTAAACTATAATTGTTTTGGGGCCCAAGATTAATTATTGTTTATGATTTTTTGTATTTTTTTTATAATTTCTACGTTTATAATAGATTTTTTATCTCATTCGTAGCTATAATCAATTTGATCGAATCATGTTAAATATTATTTATTGTTTGTATAATTTATTTCGTGTTGATCTCATCATAGAATTTGTTTCTGTCTAAAAAATCCCAAACATAATCAATCTTGGGAGAAAATATTGACAAAGGCAAAACCATAACAAGGTTAAAAGTAGTATATGAAAAGCGCATCCAAATCGACCCAAAGATTCAATTCTTGTGAAAATACTGCAATGAATAAACATGATGTAGGCAAACCAAGAATCATATATAATTTACCTCTTGCTCCAACTGTGAGTGATGAGTTATTGTTCCAAACTGGAGCCCCAGAATTGGTGGTCCAGAATGGGGAATTAAAGGCACTTGAAGGACGATTCTGCATCGAAACATATATAGCGGGAATAAGAAGAAAAATAAACAAACGAAGGCTAACTAGTTGAAGGTTCTACCAGATAAATTAGTGGAGTTAATTAGTTTTATCAGAAGAGATTGTAAGAGTTAAACGACCAAAACTTTGAAAGAGCTGAAAACCACAAGTAAAGGAAATAATACAAATGAGTGCAATCAACAGAATAAGGAAAAAGAAGTGAACCAGCATTAAAAAAAATAGATATTGGAATTAACTGAGTTGGCCTAACTTTCTTGATAACTCGATATAGAATACAATCTGGAGAAGACAAATACCGTGTTTGGTAGCTAAGAAAATATAGGAAAATGGAAGCAACTTAAAAATTTATTAATTATTTAGAGAAAGAGCAAACTAGAATGTTTCATTTAGTTCAAACTATTAGCTTAGTAAGTGAGATAAGTTCCTGAATTTTGTTCTAAAGTTTCAACCGTTGACATACTTTTTTTTCTTAAATTTTCCTAGCAAACAAACGATAATCGATCAGATTGAGCAATGAAGAAGAACTACTTTTGTTTCAGGCTTAGTAAATATAAACCAACCAAAAAATGAAAGTGGAATAACAACTGAATTAACTTAAGGAATCCATAAAGTTGGTAGTTGGTACCTTGTAAGGATCCATGATAAGAAAAGAGAGAAAAGGTAACGAGGATAGGAGATAGAGTGAAGAGTGAAGGGAGCTCTTTGTTTCTCTTCTGGTTTATATATCGTTTTTTTTTTTTTTCCTGCTGTAATAGTAGTATATACCTCAAATATTGTTTACTACCGTATAGCATATTCTATACATTCTTTCTTTTTAATTGGGGGCATGCTGCAATATGCAAATATGAAATTTTTTTATTATTTCAACTCGAATTTAATTTAGTTAATTTATATAATCATCTTAAAAGTTGACATTCAACAAATTTAAATTTTAAAATTTTTTTATTTTTAAATTATAATTATTTTACAAAAAATATGAATTAATCCATTGCTTTAAACTATAATAATACTACTAATTAATACTAGTTTGAGAAAGGTATTGATTTAAAAATTCTTATGTCAAGCTTAACAAATATATGGTAATTGGTTTGCTCTTTGTTCAATTACATTATTACTTTTCTCATGGTCGAAAGAAATTGTAATTTAAAAATAAAAAATTAAAAGTATTGATATTTAAAATTTAAATTTATACAATAATATTTTTTAAAAATAATTATATATAGATTAATTGAATTAGATTTCAAATTTATAATAAGTATATTTTATATGTACGTATATACGTAGATTTTTAGGCCAAGCAAACTGAAACGAATTTTAAATGTGTTAGTATAGTTGTAATCCATTTGGAGTGGATGTGGGTTGGGATGAGAAAAACAAGTAATTCATATAACGAAAAAGAAAAAGAGAAAAACAATGAAAAATAATATAAATGATGTGATTAAGATAAGTTAGACAAATAATATGAGGACGTCATGGATTCAAGTTTCAAGGCCACAGCACAGGCCCTTATCCTGTTTTCACCTATGCTCACCAATGGCTTAAAATGAGGTTGGGTTTCCTTGAAAACTACTGCGTTTTTGGATTTGGAATATTTCAAGTATTTTGGCGTTTAAGGAAAATGTTCATTCTATTTCTTTCCAAAATAGTGGATAGATGGGCCATGGAGAAGCAGAGCCAATAGATAGAAGATGAATACGAGTGGTTGGCTAAAGCCCTTCATCTCTTTTTGCACATTTGGTTTTCTAGCTGTTCACTTGGAAGATGATTAAGTTGATTTTGTTGATATTGAAAAGAGTTATGGAGATGAAATTAATTATTATAATAATAAAATTAAAATTAATGATAGAATATATATTTATATATAAATGCATAGGTGACGATGAGATTAAAAGTTTATTTAAGTGAGTGGTGTGATAGATTTCAGTGGGATTAAAATTAATAGTAGAAATAAGATTAATTATAATATGATAAGATTAATTATTATAATAGTGAAATTAAAATTAATGATGTAGTGATATAAAAGAAATAAATTGTAGTGATAAGAAAAGAAAATGATAAGTATAGACATTAAATAAAACTTATGTATAATGAAATTTTTAGTATATTTTTTGTATTTATGAGTTAATAATTAATTAAAATTTACTACAATTATCTTATATCAAATAATATTTTTTTAAATTAATAATAATGTATTTACAATTAAAGACATTATATTATATAAATTTATTTATCACTTTAACTAAATAAATAAATAAAGTTTAGTCAACAAATTTATGTAGTATTTCATTTATGTAAATTTTTTTTAATAAATAAATTGATCAAATATTGATTATTCTTAGCTCTTTATATTTTATTTATATTATTATTTTAATTGTTAAGATTCATTGTGTAAAAAAAAAAAACAATGATATATTTACAAATGTTAAAATACATTAACCAATATTTATTTAATTTATTATTTATATAATTATCTATTATAATTAATTACTTAGTTATAAAGATTTTTTTCATTTACTAGTAATTTATTTGATTGTAAAATTGATTATTTATTTATTTACGGTTTTTAGTTATTATCTATTAATTAGTTTATTAAATAATGATATGAATGGTTTGTTATATAATTATAATGAAGTTATTTGAAAAACTTTAAATAAAAAAAGAAAACTAAAATAACAAAAATATGAATAATAGAAAAGACCAAAAAAAAAAAGTGGTACTGTGGAAGGGGAAATTTTTGTCCCAGCACTGTAATTCTAAAAGTAAAAAGAAAGTTAAAAGTATGGGTAAAAAAAAAACAAAATCTGGCAAGTTTTGAAGTGTAATATTTTCACCGCAGTCAAACTTTCCAAACTGGAAGTATTTGAGCCTTGGGTTTTGAGGTACTTGTTTGTAAAAATGAAAAAAAAGCGGAGTTCATTAATCTTATTCAGAGGTGATAAAAACTGATTCAATTTGAAAAGTCTATCCTATTAGCTCAGATCCAAACTCAATCGATTCAATTTAATTAAAAAATTAATAATTTAATTTGATTTGATCTAAATTAAAATCAACCAGAATTTAAATTAATTTAATTTTAAATTATTTTAAAATCAAATTAATTCAAACTTAAATTAATTTAAATTTAAATTCGAAATGATATGATTTTAAATTTAAGTCAAACAATAATTTTTTTTAGAAGAACAATAAATATTTAAATGTTATAATTAATTACCAAACTAGTATATTATGGTAAAAATATTTTTTTAATAGTACCAGAATTACAATTTTTTAAGCCTTGTTAAATTTCCTTTTAAATTGGATCTAGCTAGACTTAAACGTTCACGTTTATAATGCATTTATCTACATCTAATCATAAACAAAATTCAAAACCTAGAATTATTACAATTAATTTTATAATCCGTACAATACATGGATTATTATTTATATATATAATTATACATATAAATAGTATGTTTAATAAAAAATATAAATTTTATATATACATATATCCAAGTAATATCTAAGAAAATTAAACTTTTAAACTATTCAATGAGCAATACTATTTGAGAAAAAAAAAGTGAAAATGTCTTATAAAAAATTTGGATTAACTCAAGATTACTTTATTGACTTTGTATTATTTATATTTATTTTAATTTAAGATAAGTTATTTATTCTTTTAAAAAAATAAACTTATATATTAGATTTATAATAATAACTTACTTCCATATAATTATTAATCCAAATGTATATAAATGAAAATTCAGTTACAAAATTCAAATACATGAAAAGATTTTATCTGAAAAATAATTTTTAAAAATCTAATATAATAATTTGAAAACCTATATATATAAATATTAAAATTTCCATTGACTCCATTTCCATTGCTTGACTTTATTATGGGAGTGGTTGATAAAATATTGAATGAGTAATTACTATTAATTTAAATATTTTGGTATAATTAGTTTTAATTTTGTTAATAATCAACCTTTATTTTTTTAACTAATTTGAATAGAAAATTATTTTATATTATTTATCTTAAATTACTCTTAGTTAAAATTTATATAAAAAATAAGAAAATTTTAATTGACATCATTAATAGCAAATTCTTTTCTTTTTCATAATAATAAATTCTTTTGTTATAAACGTAGATTTGTATATTACGAAAATAATGTTAAAAATAATTTATATAATGAATAGTTGATTTTGGTTTTTAATACCTTTTTCCGTTACTAATGAATAATGCCAATATAATAAAAGATTTTATCACATAATGTTTTTAAATATAGTAATAAATACAATAATTAATAAAAAGATAAATATAAAATCTTCCTTTTCTCTTTTCTTTTTAATTGCACAAAAATAGGTAGAAGATATTTATTTATAAATAATGCATACTTTAAAAACCACAAATAAGAAGAAAAAGAAATGAAAGATTAGACATAGATTTATGCAAATTTTTTAATAGAAAAATTTATGAATTAAAATGCAATTTTATTGAATTAAAGGACATTATATAAAACTATTTTACATTGAAATAGTATTTCATCTATAATAATGCTCTTTGACTTAATTAAAAAAATTACGAAAAATAAAATATTAAATATACAATTAAATATGCATATGTATATATTTTCAACAAGAAAAAAAAAAAAACAAAAGACTACCCATTTTTAAAAAAATGCACACCTTTTTAAAGTTTCATTCTCTTCCAAAATACAAATTTTCTTATATATGGAAAATAATAGATATTATTTATAAACATTTATTCATAAAAAATATTAAGAAAAGAAGATAATAAACCTTAAAATTAAAATCATTTACAATACTACTAATATAAAAATATTAATAATAAAACAAACTTACTTAATACTAAAATAAGTTAATAAAAAAGTAAGATATGCCAATGGACTTGCAAAAAAATTGTATAATATCCAAAATATTTTATATAATCTAATAACTTGATAAATCAAAATAATGTAAAAACTAATAATAAAAAGAATCAATAAAACATAAAATGTATAAAACCCTAGGAAGTATACTATATAATATAGTATAAACTGATAAATTAAGGTAGCACAAATGTATTATTAAAATGAAAGGTTGGTCGATAAAGTTAAAAACCCATGTCTACATTCACTTTTATAAAAGTATTTACAGGCAACATAAACTATCTATGGTATAGGAAAATCTCTATGATTTTGGCTGAAAAATCAAAATTTTAAAATTTGATTAATTTAATTATTTTCATAACGAGAAAAGCAAATAAATGCTAGACTTCATTATGGATTTCTTTCAAAAAAATTACATATTACCAAATATATATATATATATGGTGTACTTTAAATTGTCTTAATTTGTAACAAATTGAAATTTTATAGTATAAAAGGAATTTTTTTCTTATCTAATTAATTTAATTTAATTTGATTGATAGTGATTTAATGTATTTAATAGTAATTTATTTATTGAAAGCAAGAATATTGCTAATTTATAAGTGAATAATTGCAAATAATTTTTTCAAAAAATTATTTGTTAAATTAAGAATGTATATTTATTAAATACAAGACAAATGAAAATTGACTAAATTATCCATATGTCAAAAGAGTAGACATTCAACATTTTAGACTTTTTCCTTTTTTACTAAAGATTTTGAATTTTATATATTTATATAAAATTTAAGATATTTTATTATAAATAAAAAGTAAATCAATTGAAAATTAAAA